CATTATAATAAACAACAAGACTGCAATACTTGAGGAATACCAAACCCCCTGCTTTCTAGTATACTCCTCCATCATTACCATTATATCTTTATAATTAATATACTTCTTTTTCTTAAAAAATGACGAATGATAATATTGTATTTGGCTATAGTGAGTCAGTAGAAATGCCACCATGAGTTCAGGGTAAAAACAGTAAGATAGTAGGAAACGAAAAGTAGTGTTTTGTAATTTGCATAAAGGCAATACTATCGCTCAACTAAAGCAAATGTTGCATTCATAGTTAAGAATGTATATAATTTTAAAAATGAATGAGAATATTTAGCTTTAAAACTTTAGTGCATTCATGATAAATGACCTAGCTGTCAATAGCCCCATCATACACACAATGATGTATTCTTCACTAGAGAGAAACCTCCAACAGGAATAAAACTGAAATGGAGAGACAGAAACAAACTGTGGAAAAACCATCCTTCACTCATGGCTCCAAGAGACGACATGAACAGGAGGTTTGAATTTAACCATAAATTCCGAATACATCTGGGCACCAAAAAGGAATGGGAAAAAGAGGGAAATAACTCCCTCAAAAATGGCACCATCCTTTGGTACACAGATGGATCTAAAACACAGGAAGGTACGGGGGCAGGAGTGTTCGGACCCGGAACCAAATACTCAGAACCCATGGGAAAGCACACCAGTATCTTCCAAGCAGAAATTCATGCAATTGAAAGATGTATCCAATTCAACCTAAATAAAGGATACAAAAACAAGAATATAGCTATCATGTCAGATAGCCAAGCAGCCATCAAAGCACTAAGCTCAAATACCATTAGTTCAAGGATGGTGCTGAACTGCAAAACCAAATTAAATACATTAGGCTCGCAGAATAAAGTCAGCCTCTGCTGGGTCCCAGGACACATGGGAGTAGAAGGTAATGAGGAAGCGGACACCCTGGCAAGAAAAGGGGCTGCCACACCGCTAATAGGACCTGAACCCTTCTGTGGAATAGGAACACACACTATCAACGAATACCTCAGACAGAAGGATAAAAAGAGAATGAGCGAACTTTGGAACTCACTTATTGGACACAGACAATCCAAGAATTTTCTAACCAACTTTGGCAAGAAAGAAATCACAGAATGTGTCAAAGGAAGCAGGAACAGACTGCGAATCCTAACAGGATTCCTGACAGGACACTGTAGATTAAATGGACATTTAAAGAAAATTGGAATAATCCAAGATGGCACATGTAGATTCTGCAAAGAAGCAGAAGAGACACCAACACACTTACTAACAAACTGCGGAGCTACACTAGCCCGCAGGAGGAAGTGTTTTGGGATGTACGATGTGACCATAAAAGAACTACAACCACTGAAACCGGGCCTATTAATCAAGTTTCTTGATGAAATAGGACTCACCGATGTGCTTTAAGCAGAGCACAGGGGATACAATAGCTCTTAAAGGGCGCAGTATACCATACCCTGAATTATTACATCTATCTATCTATCTATGATGTATTCTTTGAATATAAAGAAGAACATTAGAATGCATTTTTAAAACATATTTTACTACAATCAGCAATTTCAAATTACATGTCATATGAGGACGCATAGATATAAATAAAACTATTTACACATTTACAATGAGGGGGACCATATCATCAATGGATCCCCACTTCACTTCACTAATGAAAGTTATTCAGATATCGTGAGATGCGGTCGGGTGTGATGTAGGTTTCAGAAAAACATTTTCTTTATCGTGCCAACATTTCGATCTTTTATTGAGATCATCTTCAGGGCTCAAAGTGTTTGTCTTCTGTGTAATTGTGCCATCCTTGCGTGTCGTGTTGAGAGTGCCCCGGCTTTTCTGAAACCTACATCACACCCGACCGCATCTCACGATATCTGAATAACTATCGATTAATGGTCTCTACACATCACTAATGAAACTTCACTACCTATTCCTCACAACGGAGGTCGCGTTGCCATTTCCTCTTGAGGTGCCTTATGGGACCGTGGGGATGGGCTATTGGGCAAGACATGGGCAAAACTATTTGGGTTAGAGTTTATTGTGAAACTTCTTTAATCTTTGAAGAAATAATTTTTGGATAAATGGAATTTTAAGGTCATTGTGCAGGCTAGCATTTGAGTCATAATACAGAGCATTTATAAATTGATATGAAAACTTTAGATTGAAACGATTGGATATTGGAAGGTTTAGTGGTTCTCCACAATTCTATACCATTGGTAGCATTTTGTAGACTGTAAGTTTGTTTTTCTGCAATAGCTTGGATTGTCTACAGTGTACAGTTTTACATTGTGTACAGTGGATCGTACCGTCTTTTTAGGCCTTGTCATTTTATTCGTGTATACTGATTCCATGTTAAAGGTGAGTCTAGGTGGAACCCAAAGTAACAAACACAGTCGGATTTGTGGAGAGAAACATTGTTGTGGTATATTGTGACAGAAGGTTTGCTTTGAGTATAAAAGTGGCATGGAACACTTGCTTTCATTTATCTTCATTTTCCATTGTCTTCACAATCTGCTTTACATGTGATATGTCTCAAGCATCCACAGGATCAGGGTCAGAGGCTAGTACTGTTGTGTCATCAACAAAAGATGCAAGGAGGGTGGTAGGTACAGTGGGAACATCTGCAGTATAAATGATATAGATGATTCGTCCGAGCTCATTGCCCTGTGGTACTCCTGCAGCTAGAGAACAGTATGTGTACTAATCTTGTTGGACTCAAAAGAACTGCTCTGTTAGATAAAAGCAGAGGATTAAGTAGAGGGTATTTGAAGGGACACACTTTGATTTGTACAGGAGGGCCTTGTGCCACATCAAAAAGACTCCCAGACAATATTTTTTGTGCTCAAGGGAGAAAGAAGGATATACAGTCTAGAACACGAAACACTTGCTGGACTGTGGAATGGTGGAGGCAGGACCAAATTGATGATCTGGGAGAAGATTAGAACACTAAAGACTAAATTTAATGCTATGATTTTTTCATTGGCATTAATTTTCCAATGGGAATAGAAGATTTCTCTACTGTGAAGCATCTGTGTGCATCAGAAGCATATCTGTAATAGGTATGCTAGGGAAAGATTTGAAACTTTTGAAGGAGAGGACATAACCAAAACACTCCCCAAGATAAAATGGTCCAAAATCTTGGGGTTTGTGAATAGGTCCAAAAGGTTTATGCAGGACTCGTGAGCCGACCAGATCCCGGACCTTTTAGGGATGGGGTACGGGCCTACCTAGGCTTTTAACCCCTCGGGTCCCGGTCGCCCGCTCTGCGTAATATATATACATGCCTATCACTTCTCACAGTCCGTCATCCATTCTTCCTTTTGTGTAATTTAATTAAATACACTCACGTGTTGGCAGTCCTGGATCAGACCTCAGTCTTATCCAACCGACCACTGAGGCTGGGTTCCAGGGACTACCAACAGCTAGGTCATTTCAGCCCCCAACACAATCAGTCTTCAGATTCAAACCCAATCACTCTTAAATACATTCTTTCCTATTTACATACCATACAGTCAGTTAAGGTGTTTGTGTACTTGATATTTCTTCATTACCCTTCACACATATAACTAATCAAATTGAGGATCTATGGGGTTCTCAATATTCCACCTTTGGACTGCTCACACTCCCCTTTCATGCTTACAAATGGAATGAGCCTCAATATACACAAGAAACACATCTATAAAGAAAACAGCCCTTTTTCCTCTAACAATCAGAAGATGATGCCATATGCAAAAATTGTCATATTGGTGACAATGATACACGCTCTCTTTATGGCACCAAGGAATGGACACATCAAGCAACCTTTCTCTACATGCTTTGACTTGTTTGTTTTCCTCATACCTCATAGCTATATAGCCATACGTTGGAAAGTGTGGTATTCCTTGTAAAATGAGCTCGTTTTTCATCCCTTTTCAAGGATCTCTTTTGATATGAGAAATGTCCTGCTGAAGGGGTGGTATAACTATTCTCCTCAAATACTTCCTGCTGAGAGAGAGGAGTTCCTTCACCTTCCGTTTTGAGAGATTTGCAAATCTCTTATCTTTCCTCATACCTGGAGTGTTTGAGTTTTTCTTTCTCAGTCCATTTTTCCAGTTCCAACTTAAGCACATGTTCCGGAGTACTTAGCTGCAGTTCTGATCCCTTGGGTGAGAAGGTTGTCCCTTTTTTGGCTGTTTCAGCCTGTTCTTTTCCTTCTATGCCTTCATGTCCAGGAACCCACTTTAAGGTAATATTGTTTTGCTTTCCCAGAGTGATTAGGCAGTTTAAGCACTCCCAGACAAGTTTGGAGTTGATAACATACACATTCAGAGCCTTTATGGCTGCCTGACAATGTGAGAGTATATATATCTGTTCACCTTTCATATTTTTCTATATTAACTCTTGTGCACAGAGTGTATTGCGTGTACTTTGGCTTGAAAAATCATTAAGGTTAGTCCAAGGGGCTTTCCTAGGGTATAGCTTGGCCCTTTTGCACACACACACACACAGTGTAGGTGGTACACCTACTCCTTGTTCCATCTTCAATGAAACTGTTTACCATCTTGAAACTTGGGCCACCTTTTTCTAAATGTCTTTAGTGTTTATGTCTACTTGGAAGGGTCTGTCAAAGTTGAGCTTCTCACTTTTTTGACAGACACTGTTGTAGCCGTCTCATTTATTTTAATGCTTTTTAAAATTTGGTTATGGCTTCTCCTTAGATCTGGTTTTATTTCCTTGTGTTTCATGACTGGAATTTTTATCCTGAATCCATCCTCCTGTGAATCCAAAAGAGTAATTTAGCAAGCATTCATGGTTTAATTGGTCAAAAGCTTTATATAAGTCTGAATATTTGAAAATCCCGCCACCTGCAAGAAATGCATATGGGACATTATTTGTAAATATTAATTGAATTTATATTTCAAAATTGGTGTAGTGCATTTCGTCAATATGTTTGACGCGAGGAGCTCACTTCAGTTGATAAAAGGGAATAGAACGAAGAGGCCGGGCAAATGGTCGTCATCATCAATCGGACACCGCTCATTTGGTCAACACTGCCGATTGCCCACACGAAATTCATGATGATTTCATCCTGGAACACCTATTTTGTCATCGGTTTAGAAGAGCAGTTTCAGTACTTTTAAATCGGGGATAATCACATCGTCGATGATGGACGCATTTGAGGAAGAGCCGTACAACGCGGAAATGTCCCAGACCTCGGCTATCAACCTCGTCAAGGTATGGCTGTGTTAAGGACGACACTCGGAATCTAGCCGATTTTCGGATAAACGCGTTCAATTTTTCACCTCAGGCTGGAAAAATGAGTTTTCCAACGTATTTTTGAATTTTACACGCTTGGAATTTTATACGAAAACACTTTAGAACCGGACAACCAACCCGAGATTTTATTCGATCCGAGATCTCGTGGTTTCAGAAAAGTTTGAATTCGTCTTTTACACAAGCGTCAATCCGCTCTGACAATAGCACTGGATTATTAAGTGCTAATCATGTTGTCCCCTTTTCTAGACCTTCAATCCAAACACCTGGTCATTCCAGAGATCTGACCAATTTTCACTATTATACTGGCCATGCATTTTCAAAAAACCAGATTTAGTTATCCATAAAATAAAACACTTCCAATCCTTGTTTATATAAGTTCCATAAGTATGATGTCAGCTATACTGTAAATTACCTTTACGAACAAGTTTCCACTGTCCATATTGAAAGTTTCCGCTCTAAATCCATAAAATATTAACATTTAACTTATTGTACCTTACAGTGTACTAAAAGTTTTAATTTAACTAAACACCAGATGGCAATAAACAAATCAACCTTCTCAAATAACACACCAATTTTTGTTTAAAATTAAGGATGTGTTTAAAGATGGAAAGAATACAATATATTTTGAAGGTAACAAATTACCTTTACAACTAAATTTCCACTGTCCATATTGAAAGTTTCCCTCTAAATCCATAAAATATTAACTTTTAACTTATTATACCTTACAGTATACTAAAAGTTTTATTTTAACTAAAAACCAGATGAGAATAAACTCAAATCAACCTTCTCGAATAACACACCTAATGTTTTTTAAAATTAAGGATCTGTTTAAAGAGGGAAAGAATAAAATATATTTTGAAGGTAATAAATTACCTTTACAACCAAGTTTCCACTGTCCATATTGAAAGTTTCCGCTCTAAATCCATAAAATATTAACTCAAGTCAAATCAAAGTATTTCTACTCACTGAGAGTGTTTGTTTTCTGTGAACGCGTAGGCCCTAAAGATGGTGTCAATAAAGATTGAAACGTTGGCATGATAAAGAAAATGCTTTTCTGAAATCTACATCACACCACATATCACGATTTCTGAATTTACAATCAAGTTTGTACTGCCCATCTTGGAAGTTTTTGCTCTGTATCCATAAAATATTTATAAATTCGAGATGACTTCAGATAAAATAAGTAAAACCAACAAAAGATATAGATGTATCATTCAGGGTGCGTTATATACTGCATCCTTCAAGAGCTATTGTATTCCCCGTTTTGTGCTTATAGCACACCGGTGAGCCCTAGTTCATCAAGTAACTTGATTACTAGACCTGGTTTCAGAGGTTGAATTTCTTATGCGGTTGTTTTACATCCCAAATCACTTACACAAAATGTGGCACCACAGTTTGTTAGTAGGTGTGTTGGTGTCTCCTCTGCCTCTTTGCCAAATCTGTACGTGCCGTATTGTGTTATATCAGTCTTCGTCAGATACCCATTCAGTCTGCAGTTAAAAATCTTGTTAAGATTCTACATTTTTCCCTTCTTCCTTTGATGCATTCTGTTATTTCTTTCCTCGTAAAACTTGCTAAAAGGTTCTTGGGTAATTAGTGTACAATAAGTGAGTTTCACTGTTTCCTCATTTTCATTTTGTCGTTTTGTGTAAGATACTCATTGATAGTGTGAATCCCTATGCAACAGAAGGGCTCAGGTTCTATCAGCAGTACAGCAGCCCCTTTATTTGCAAGAGGGTTAATCCCAATATTTTCTCCATACCAGCTGTGGGACATGTCTCATCACTTCCGTTGTGTGTTCAATTGTGTTAAAATCTGGACTTCGAGCTGGCCACACCAAGCACTCAATTCCATCCACAATCGTGCTCTATGGGGCTTGGCATTATCCTGCGTTAGCAAGAATCTCTCACCGATGTAGGGGGCAAATGGCACACGTTCTTCAATTTTGTCTGTGAAGTTAAAGATCCTTGCCCTCACCCAACAACCAATTTGGTGTGGTCATCCAAGGAAATACACCCCAGAACATCAATCACCCACCGTGGAATGCCACCTGAGGAACCATTCAGTGTGTGGTGTACCTTTCTCCTGAGCGACTCCATATGAAATTATGCCCATCTGAAGATTTTAGGCCAACCCTCACCTCATCTGTAAAGAGGACTCCTCCCCAATTTTCCAATGTCCAATTCACATGTTCCTGTAAGAAAGAGGCTGGTCATTTTCTGAGCTGAGGTAAGAAGAGATTCACGAGCCAGCTGCTGGGCCTTGTGGTTATTTTCATTGAGCCTTTTTCTTACCGTCCTGGAGAAAATTGAAACATTTTGGACTTGTCTTATCTCATTTCCCATAATGCTGCAGTGTCGTAGGGCCTGATGAATGAATCTATCGTATCTCTCATCCATAGACCTAGGTCAACCCTGTCCTGGTCGTCTAGTGTGAAATCCTGTTTCTCTGAAGCACTAAGAACCTTTGTAACCCGTAGAGTGATTTACACTCAGTCTCCTGGTGTCTTCATGCCTATCGTTTTTCTAATAATGTTATGTCCCTGACATTATAATACTCACTCAAATTCCTGACCGGAGACGTGAAAAATATTTAAAAATAAGAATAACATCAAATGCTATCAACAAAGTAAAAAATTAACCAAAAGTGATCTTTAGGCATAGCAGAATGGAAGGAAACAATGCTACGTTTTTGTACAAATGGGATTAATCAGTACAAATTTAAATAAAGGAAGTAAACAAAGCATTATTTATTGTTTATTTTGACTACTATAGCTCGTAATTACCTGCAAATAATATAGAAAGGGAATGAATGTAATTTTAAACTAAATAAATTGAGTGGTGTGGGGACCATGGTGGACGAGCAGTTAAGGCATCCAACTAATATTTATGTTTGCTTTTTTCGGTTCGAATCCCGGCACTGCCTGTGGCTTTTTAATTGAGAATGTAGAAGAAGTATTTTAAAATGGTTTGGCCCCCCCACTTCTGCAACACCCAATGGGTAGTTGGACGTTAAGCTCTTCTATAAGACAGGAATTAAGGTACAATAAGCCAGAAGGTTGCAGTGCCTGGGGAATACAAACCCCGCTTCCTAGTATCCTTTCCCTAAGACAGGAATTGCTTTGCATATTACATCTATGTGTACAGCATAATGATAATATTTATAACATGACATATTATGGCCAATTTAGTTGTAATCTGTGCTTTTCACATGTTCAAAATTGATCAGCAAAAAAAAAAAAAACAGTTTTTGAGTAAACTATCGTTTTGATCTATTGAACTGATACACTCACTCCATCATAACTGTTTCTGTCTACTCTTTACTTAATGATGTAATTCATGATAGCGAATGTGAATGATAGTTTTGTACCCTTCATGAGTCACTGAATAAAAAATATGTTTTTTCACATGGTTCAGCACTAACACTAAGGCCAGCACAACACCCGGAGGACTCATGAGAAGCCAGCCTATGCTGGAATTCAGTATGAGAACAAGGTCTAGAGGTGGGTTCTTGGGAAGGGAATTCGAGGAGAGGGTTCAAGCAGTGGGGTTAGGATTGAACAAGTGGTTAGTGTGAAATTTTTAGAATCAGGATCAGTTAGTTAACTAAAGCAATGTTCAGGTCGTTGTGAATAGTGAGGTTAGCAATATAAGGAGATTTGACAATTTGTCTGAGGACTTTTGATTGGGAGGACTGGATGCTCAGGATGTTGGATGGTTTGGTGGGAAACCCACAGTTTCACTCGATATGTACAAAGTGGTTGCAGTAAAGTCTTGTATAAGGTTAATTTAGTTTTTAGATTTTGGTCCAAGAAGTCTTCTTAGTTGTTCGTTTTCTGTTAAGATGTAGTGTCTTATGTCCTGTCTGGGATCCTACATCGGCTGTCTCAGTATAGTCCTGAATATTTGATTTTAATGAAAATCTGTATCTCTTTGTGGATTGATGTACAGTGGAGAGCAAGACTTTTTTTTTTTTTCGATGTGAACCTGAGTACATTTTTCTTCATTTAGGGCGATCTATTGTAGAAATGACTCTTGTTTATTGCCAAGCCTCAAAACCTGCACAACCCTTAAAGAAGTTTAGTGTTTTCTGCAATACCTCTTCATTCATTTCTTTAGTCATCATATTCGCCTATCTGAAGAGCTGTACATTTCTTGTCCAAAGCTTTGCAGGTCCAAAGGATTCCGATGTCTGCTTCTTCATGATAGAGTCGGCAAGTTTCTTTTCAGTTTCCTTTTTTTTTCTTTATTTATTTTATTGCAAAGGTGGTAGTTAAATAGGCCAGTTTAAAAGTCTAATTTTTTTTTTTTTTTTTTTTTTTTTTTTTTTTTTTTTTTTTTTTTNCGAACCCGGGACCTTTACCTTACAGTGATGAGCGCCGTGTCAACGACTAAACCTTGCGACCACCGACGCCCCCTAAAAGTCTATTATTATTTTTATTTTAGGCAGTAGCCTGCTGAGAGTTCAGTTCTGATTTTCTAAATAGTATGTTAGTATGTAACTACCAGATTTAAATTACATAACATTTATTAGTGAGTCCCAAGTCCATCCATCAGTCGGCCCAACTGAGTCGTAGGGTTTACTGCATTGCTGGTAAAGTCCATTCATTTGAAATTGTATTACGGCCCTGTCAGACATTGGGAAAAACAACAAAATTCCCTTGTCTGGGTACAATGACTCACAGGGCAGAGAGGCAATGAAGAGGTTGATAACTTGGCCAAGTTTGATTAATACAGCTATTTGCGCTGAACCCTTTTGTGGCTTACTAAACTGCCAAAAACGTGAACCCAGTGGACAATGAATTAAAAATAAGTTCTCCATTCAATGTAGAATGTAGCCCAGAACAATGTGAATTACTCTTCACCAAAGAACCATTGCAGAAACTAACAGCAGAACTAATAAATCTAGAATAGTCTAGAATAATATTTAAACTGCTGACTCGAGACATAAGATTTTCAGACTCGTAGTGGTAGAAAAATCTTGTTGCCAGGGAGAAAAAGAAGCAGAACTTATCTTCTGTTGGTGCGAAGGGTTATACAGGGTGAATTGCTACTCGTGCTACAAACTTCTCCAGTAGATTCTTCACCCTAAAATGAACAAAAAAGTTCATATTGTCCATGGTCCGATTCTCAACCATTTCAGAGTAATTTCGCTTTTTATCGATTTTGAAAGATATCACGTCCTGGCGTCGGAAAATCGTGATATCTTTTAATCTAAACATTTCTCTTAAAATCTATAAGCACCGTTGAAATCCCCGTTAATTTTTAGAGAGAATCAAAATCATAATTCCATTGAAATTTTTTAATTTAATTTAATGCCCATTTAGTATGTAATGCTTAAGAAGTTTACAAACAGCTAGAAGGTCAAGGAAGAAAGACCCAAACGTTTTGCCACCTTCATCTTCTTATTGAAAAATTAACGGGGATTTCAACGGTGCTTATAGATTTTAAGAGAAATGTTTAGATTAAAAGATATCACGATTTTCCGACGCCAGGACGTGATATCTTTCAAAATCGATAAAAAGCGAAATTACTCTGAAATGGTTGAGAATCGGACCATGGTCAATATGAACTTTTTTGTTCATTTTAGGGTCAAGAATCTACTGGTGAAGTTTGTAGCACGAGTAGCAAGTCACTCTCAAACATTAGCAATCCTTGAACCACCATTTTTTCTCTTTTTGTCATCAACATCTTGGTCTCACAACCACTAAATAAGAAAATGACGAGTGCGTTGGAAGCGTTATTAAATCAGGTAGTTTTCCTCAAATTTGCTGCCTTCTGAGACTAAAATTAGAAACTCTGGATTACTTTATACACTTTCCGATTTACACAATTTTCCACTCTTTTTGTAGTTCTGGCTGAAATAAAACACAAAAAATTAGCCCAAACATTTTGCCACCGTCATCTTCTTATTGAAAAATTAACGGGAATTTCAACGGTGCTATTAGATTTTCAGAGAAATGTTTAGATTAAAAGATATCACGATTTTCCGACGCCAGGACGTGATATCTTTCAAAATCGATAAAAAGCGAAATTACTCTGAAATGGTTGAGAATCGGACCATGGACAATATGAACTTTTTTGTTCATTTTAGGGTGAAGAATCTACTGGAGAAGTTTGTAGCACGAGTAGCAATTCACCCTGTATAGGCTGAGATCTCTACTTTTGAATGAGGAAAAGCCCGGGCCTGAAAGATGCACATCCTTGAAAAAGCTTTGTAATCTGATAAAATAGTGAGGAGTTATAATTAATAATAAAGAGGACTATAGACCAATACTGATCGTGATGAGTGGTAAAGAGGCTGATTTCTAATCTAAACTAATCTGCTTTTATCATGCATTGATTTGTGATTCTGGTCCCAGAGGTGTGCGAGCTAATTGCCGGTTTGTCAGGTTGTTGTCTTCAACCCCCTTTATGTCCTGACGTCAGAGTTACCTAATTACGTTTACTTTCAAGTTATTTCAATAATTAAAATCACTTGTATATGGTCATGATTTAATGATGGGCATGTCTAGAAAATTTCTTTTCTCATACAGTCTCCCAAAATTATTTGTTAATTTTGAATAGAATTGAGTTTATTTATTTTAAAAAACTGTACATACAGAATTGCTTTAAAATGTTATCTTTAATGTTTGAAGGCATTTCTACTTGTCACATTTAGCATCCAATGTGATGTAAATTGCAAAATTGTCTGTTTAAATTAAAATATTCTGCTTTATTTTACAAATATTTATTGATTCATGATTGTTTACGTAAAAAGTTAATTTTTTATTTGTTTTTATTATTTTGTTTTAGCTGCAATATGAATATTTGTGTAAATACAAAGAGGACCTTGTAAATAAGAAACATTCGCCTGAAATGGTTAACACCTTAATGACTGGAAGAATCTTGAATGCTGAAAGATTTTTTCTGGCTTACAAAGGTTAGATTAATGCGTAGCGTTTATCGTCTTTTTTTTTTTTTTCTACTAACTATTTTTGTATTTCAGAACGCTGTTTTGTCGAATCGAAAGTTGAATATTGGCTTCTAGTTGGGCAAATTTTCAATTTGAGCCCCAACTTTGTCACGAAATCTATCGACGCTCTGTCTAAAGCTGTAAAATTGGACCCAAAGAGAATATCCACATGGAATCTTCTCGGCGAGGCCTACTGTAACAATTCGGAGCAAGTATTAGCGGAGAAATGTTTTGAAAATGCCTTAGAACAGGTGACAGATATTTTTATAGGGGCAATTTAGTAAAATTAGCTGCAAATGTTTTCATTAATACCTCCATTTTTCTGTATTTTATCTATTTTTTATTGATTACTGATCTACATAAGGTCAAACCTGCACATGCATGTACATATATACAGAGCTGAGCCTATTACTTCTCACAGCTCACCGGCAATACCAGCTTTTGTGTAATTTACAATAAATTTCCGGCAGGCCTCGAGAGAATCACCTCTGTGGTTATACCTTGGCCAGCTAAACAATCAGACTAATCCAACTCTCTTTAATTCATTCTAACTATTTGACATAGCCATGGGTAGCAACCTAGGCCCAATACTTGCAGACATAATTATGACACATCTATTAAACACAGTTATACCACAACTTCCTTTCACATTACCCGTCCTCACTAAATACATAGATGATATATTGACCGCAGTTCCCGCAGATCAAATTCAAACTACATTAGATATATTTAAAAGCTTTCACCCACGCCTACAATTTACACATGAAATTGAAAACCACAAAACAATACCATTTTTAGATACAATCGTAATAAAACAACAAGATGGCACATTAATCACAGATCAGGTATCAAAAACCAAGAAATACAGATCGCTACCTCAACTTTATATCTCACCATCCTCTTCATACAATAATAAAAATGGCCAAAGGGCTACTTCACAAAATTATTACCCTAAGCCATGAATCATTTCACCACAAGAACATAAAGATATACAATCATCCTCCATAACAATCACTACACTAAACACATAATCAACAGAAAAATCAACAACTACAACTCACCACTAACACCATCAACTATTACTAACAATACTACATCAAATTTATCAAATACAGACAGACGAACATACATTTCCATGCCTATCACATAAATTAAACCCATTTCTCTCTTCCGATAGTTTTAAAATAGTTTTCAAAAACTATAAAACAATTCACACACTTTTTTCCAAAATTAAAGATCCCACACCAGTAACAAATAAATCTGACGTAATTTACAAAATCAATTGTTTAAATTGTCCGGCTTACATCGGTATTACATCCGAATATCTGGATAAGAGAGTAAAGTATACTAGTAAGTAGTAATATCTATGATTGCAAAAAAACCCAAACAAAATCCTACAGCACTGGCTACCCACCATTTTGAACACAAACACAATTTCGACTTCATCAATCCAAAAATATGACACACAGAACAAAACAAACATAAACGTAATTTTTTAGAAATGGTTTACATTATAGAACAGACACATGTAAACTCAGTCGCAGCTATGCCAATATATCCATTTCAATATCGATAACATACATATATAATCATCACATCTCACAAAACATATAAATAAAAACATATATAAAACAATCATCCCATTCTACACATCAAACATTTCTACATAGTCTAATTCTTCAACAATTTGGTTTTCCTTTCCCTAATTATCCCCATCTACATAATCCTGAAAGGATAATCAGGCCGAACCATTACCCACGTTTTTCCCCATTGTCGGCTCCTTTCGCCTCATATAAAAATGTCTTTCTATCCCGACTTCCTTCCCCACCCATTCAAAATCCAACGTGTACATACATAAAACAGCAAAATCTCACCGACACTCTCAACACGACTCACAAGAATGACATCTACAAGGAAAACAAACAGAATGAGTACAAATACTTTGATTGAATTTAAAAAAATTTCTAGCATTGTATAAATTCAATTTATTTTAAATCTAAAATTTTCTAGCATTGTATAAATTCATAAATTTTTTCCACTTCCTACACATATTTGTAAAACTCAAACAATGTTTATAAATCCCAGGCCCTGAAGATGATCTCAATAAAGATCGAAACATTGACACGATAAAGAAAATGTTTTTCTAAAACCTACGTCACACCAAACTGCATCTCACGATCTCTGAATAATTAATTCATTCTTTTCTATTTAAGTCATTCACTCAGTTAGAGTGGTAAAGTATTCAATCCTCATATACACATATTATATAACTAATATAAAGATTGATGTGGTACTCAATATTTCATCATCGGCCCTCTAACACTACACACTCACACAAATAAATACATTCAGTCCCAATATACACAACGCGATAGCTATAAGTACTATATACTACTATACCGTCTTGTTTCCTCTAGAAAAAAGAACAGGACCCAAATATTTGCTACCATGCTCAAGCACAATTCTCATATCAGGTGGCATCCCTACACCCTCAATACATGGAGCCAAGGACCATGATGTGGTCTTTAGCCCAAAATTGTCCATATGTCAACCTCGCATGCCCTTAATTGAGTGACAATGACCCTTCTTCGACGAGTCAGATCCTCTGAGGGCCGCCTATCACCAGTGCTCTTGAAATATGAGAGCTTCTCTGCCGATCAAGCCCATAATCCCTGCCATTTTCTTTTGATTGTGCTTTAGTGCATTTTTATCGACAGAAGGCTGGGCAAATTGCATTTGTTAAAATCCAAAGGTTGAAATGTCCCTTCTTTAGCCGCCTTGTCTGCCTTTAGTCATCCTTCAGACCCATCTGTCAATTTTATTTCTATTTTGTTAAGTATGATATTTTGATAGAAATACCTAATTATAAATGGATTCGAAACAGTCAGAAAAATAACCAACAGTCATATATCTAAATAATATATATAAATTTATTAACGGTTTTAGAAAAGGAATGTTGTGTCTTTACGGAACCTCTCTATTCTTTCTCGCAAACGTTCGGAGGGTGATTGTAAAAAACGAAAAGAAAGTGCTGAAAAAGGTATCGCCCTGGCTAAGGAGGCTGTTAGCCTAAATCTGAAAGATGGAACATCATGGGGAGTACTGGGAAATGCGTATATATCAGCTTATTTCAGTATCAAGCCAGATCCTTCTTATGCATACAAAGCAATCTCTGCATACAAGCAGGCGGTATGTGAAATGTGTTTGATCATTATTATGCATTATCAATGATTATGCAAGTTCTTTATTTATTGTAAACATACAAATTATTTTTAGGAAAAAACCCAAGAAGGAAAAGGAAATTGTGATCTATATCACAATAAATATGTTGTGAGTTGTATTTCAATTTTAATAATTTTATTTGTAATTAGTATATTTGTAATTTGTAATTTGTTTTGACATTTCAGGCATTAAAATTTGTCGAAGAATATTGTGAAGCCTTAGAGGCCGTCTCGAAGGCGTTAGAACTTGCTCCTACCTGGCAGTTAGCTGTAGATGGTAGAAATTCCCTAATGAAATATCTCGATGATATTAATCACTTTAGTGCTACGCATGGAAAACTAAAGCCAAAGAAAGTTACAGTTTTGAGAAAGGTATAAACGCTATGTTATAGAAATTGTAGTTTTAAATGATTTCTCTGAATCTATAACTGAAAAAGATAACAATAGCAATAATTTTTTATATAACAGGTTTTCTTAATCCATATCATTGGCTCATGCGAAGTTGAGTTGGTTGTTCCAACACGGTTTCAGACCAAGTTTATCACGTTATTGACCATCAAAACAGTCCATGTGCAGACCCCTTGTTCTCACTCTCACCACATTAGCAATTTTATTTAACTAGAGCTCGAATTATGAAATAAAATTCCTCAAATATGACCAAATTAATTTGCTCTAACAATATTAAAATACACAGGATGAATGTCAGAGACATCTCCCGACTAATTGAATAATTTCTTTTTAACATAGACATTGAGGGTGGGTCGTCAGCAGAATATCAAGTACACTGAAACCCGCCAAATTAAGGTTAGGCTAAGTAAACGAAGTGCTTGACAAGCCCTGGTAGCTAGCCAGCCCGAAAAAATTTAGACTTTTTTGGTCTGATACATATTCTTGAAAGGAAATAGAGCATAAAAATTTCAGTCAGACAAAAAATCATATAATTAGAAAATGGAGTGACACTTTTTGTGACTATGTTTTTGTTTGAAATTAGCACCATATTTCTATCCACAACCTGACTATTTCAGGAAAGGCAAAAAAAATGCAGTCAGAAGTTTTGGAAAATAAGGCGCCAATTACTTCAAAACATAAAAAAGTGAAATAATAAGTTTTTTAAAAAATTGGGGGCGTCGGTGGCCGCAACGGTTTGGGCGTTGACACGGCATTCACTGTAAGGTAAAGGTCCCGGGTTTGAATCCAGCGGCCCTGCGTTCGAACTTGACATACTTACAAATGGGCTTTTTTTCAAAAACACTGGCACCCTGAGGGTTTATATGACCTCTGCTGTTGCGAACCCTCATCAAAAAAATTAAAAAAAATTCTAATTTTGAATATTCTTTAAATATGACTTGAAATATGAAAGCCAGGAATTTAGGCCTCTTTGACTCGAACATGCTGACATTTTTGGATTTGAGCCCATTTGAATCTATGTTTGGTTCCGCTGGAACACAGGATTACTTTTGTCAACTGCAACCCGTGGCCCTTCTAATCATTTCCTTATTACTCACCATATACATAGGGTCTAAAATACCCTGTAAATATCTGAACAATAGCGAGGACTAGTCTGAATTTTGGGAGACACCAAACAATTGCTTCTCTGGGTTCCATTCAAGGGTGAAAGCAGCAACCATACAAACCAGGTACCATTTGACTGTAGGAGTCTGAGATTGGAAAACAACATTACAACAGAGTTAACAAGCAGTGATCAGTCGATGTTCAGACATGCACAGTCAATAAATCACGGTTTAGTTGGCAACTAGTTTGTGATTGTGTATTGGAACAAACCTAATCTCTTATTTTGAATAGTCCCTAACTATATCCTTACCTAACCTAAACCTAACTTTTACTGTACCCATGCACACTTCCCTGTTACACTAAATCGGTGACATGTTACAAAAAGAGAAAATATGTAGTCATAATTTTTCTTTTTAATTCACCAGGCCCCAAACCAATGACAACAATTTTTTTTCCTTGCAGTTTCTAAATAGTTTATGCATGCAAAAATAGTCAGTAGATTTTAGGCCTTTCACAGTCAAAATGTAATTTCTTCAAATAGTTCCGTTTCCAAACAACCAGGATTTTATGGAAAAAAGTGATTTGGGTCCTGTGTGGAAAGGTGTGCATAGGAAATTATTTCGATGTTATAATAAAGTATAGTGTCCCAGTGCATCAGTTTATTATTATTTCAATTATTTATACTTTTTATCTAAGGTCTTGGTTGAGATAAAAAGTTAGTGTCACGAGTGGGATTCGAACTCATGACCTTTGGCTAAATATGCCGCTGCTCTAACCACTTGAGCTATCGAGATTTCGGTCGACTCGGACACCACCTCCTCATCTCAACCTACAACATTTCAAATTTTCCCTCTTTTTTTACACTAACTTAACACTAACTTTTTCATTTTAATTTTAGAGCATATGCAGGATTGATCTTGGACCGTACGCTAACAACAGATCGTATAAGCCATGTAACATTGGAGCACTCCAGCCAGGTCCAAATCCAAAATGTGTTATATATGGGAAAGTTACATGGAATTTGCAGGTGGATGATACATTCCCATTGTAAGTTAAGATTTTCTATTTCTACACTTGAATGTATTCATGCATTGATTAGTAACATACTAAAAAGTAATTGCTTTTTAAACACACTTTTAGCTTTAAATGGACTTTATAAGAATGACATACGAGTTAAATTTAAAACAAAACGAAATCTCTGATTCTATTATGTTGTAATTTATTCCAGCACATTTGGCTTTTTGGATAGTAATGGAGACTCTCTTGTTGTTACGTTATACAACCTTGCTGAAAGGAAAGGATTTATAATTGGTGATGCAGTTGCTATACCGGATCCTCACCTTACTGTAGTTGATTTTACCTTCGATGATAAGGTGGGTCAAAAATATCACTGTTTTTTGTCAACTGAAATAGTTGACGAACTCAAAGAGAAATAAATAATTTTTAAAAAAGGAGGGACAATTCGAATAGATGGGTTGAGATGGGCAGTTGGTGTCCGAGTGGATTGAAGTCATGATAGCTCAAGTGGTAGAGCAGCAACGTATTTAGCCGAAGGTTGTGGGTTCAAATCCTACTCGTGACTGACTTTTTTATCTCAACCGATAACTTACATAAAAATTAATTAATTGAAAAAAGTTAATTGGTCAATCGGACCATGAACTCTAATGGATTAATAAAAAACTTAAATCTATAGGAGGTCATACATGAAACCTTTTTTTTTTTGTACTATTAGCACAGAGGCTACTCAATTGTATTCTACCTTCTCGGCCTGGCATGACATCGTGTGGCGTCGGTACAATTGTCTTTTTAATAATTCACTACTTTCGTGGTCCGCTTGACCAATTAATACATGACAATTAATTAAGGCTTTTAGTTGAGATGAAAAAAAGCTAATGGCACAAGCTCAAGTGGTAGAGCAGCGGCGTATCTAGCCGAAGATCATGGGTTCGAATCCCGCTCGTGCCATTAGCTTTTTTTCATCTCAACTAAAAGCCTTAATTAATTGTCATGTCTTTTTAATGCTCGACCTACATTAAATATTTTTGTAAATTGGCAAATGTTTGCAATTTCTGTTCAGGAAAATAATATTCTGTGAATAAAATCAATAGCGATGAAGTAAAAGGTTGATGTTCATATGGGGTGACCCATTATTTAAAAATGGATTTGTAAAAATAGAAAATAAAATAGCTTCAATGAGAATTGTTGAAAACTCAAGTGAATAAATTGTTTTAGTTTATGCTCGAATTTGCAACTTGTTTTCACACAAAATTTTTTTAAATTTAAGGCTTTTCTCTCATTTTCTTCTTGTTATACAACTCACTGAATTTATTTACAGGTATACCAGTTCCTTAAAGTAAAAGTAAATTCCCCTGCGAGTGTAATATTGAATGGAAAGCCAACACCTTCATCATACAATGGAGCTATTGGTTATGTAAGCTTTGAAACAGTAAACTAGTTTATAACGTAATATTAAGATTGAAGTACCTGAAACATTTTATATCATTTTGGAATGAAAGACTACATATTTGTGATAAAAATATTTTTACAAAATAAAACTTCTTTTTTTTATGTTTTACTTAGTAGGCGATCTCTCCTCGAACTGTATATTTTCAAAACCTCTTGGAAACCCTTTGACATTTTCATGATTCATTTCACAGAAAAGAAAAAAAAAACTTTTGATTGTCCAGTACAACTGAAAAACACTGGCTCATGTACGTAGAGTTTGGGGTTATTTATTTAGTAAAGAATAACAGCTAATTTTAAGGCAGGGAGCCCACTGGAGCGATATGATAGACAATGCAACATAAAGGCAGCTTTCATCCTCACATTAACAGAAATCAAAATGAGAATTGGCTTTACCAATGTTAATATTTTCAGCTTCAGTTTTTCTGCTATTTTCTCCATGGTACACTCGTTAATTTAGTTCTTGAATTACTTATCAAAGAATAGTTCCATAAACATGGGTTCCATTTAACTATTCTGGCAAAATAAATAGAAGCAGAGACGTCCTGTTTAGCCGACAATTCACTAACGAGTCGTGCCATTCTGTCACCTGGAGCTGTGTCACCCCAACCAATAATTATTGGCATTGCATTCTGATCGCACTGGTGTGTCATTTAGTTGCTTAAGGAAGGTATACCCGCAGTAAGTGATATGGTGTTGAATTGCTTATCGCATCACTTGTATCTTGCCTTGCATCGCTCCAGTGGGCACCCTTCCAAAAACATTTGTACATATTTAAGCACAAATACATGACTTTACAAAATCCATCTCTGAGAGCGGCAGTATTTGTTTTTCTTCTTCTATTCAACGTAAAACAACTTATTGGCTAATTCCTTTTGTGCCACTCTAATTAAGCCATCAGACTGCGGATCCGACTCAGATTCACATTTTGACTCGCTTTAGTGTTTGTCCCATGGTTTCATGTATTCGGCACAAGTAGATACTAGATGTTCAATAGGGGCCCCATGAACAGCATCCATTCTCAATGTTGTATCGTTCCTGAGGATTCACCTTTGTTACTTTGTAAGGACCCAACCCTCACTCCTCTTCCCACCAAAAATGTCACCTAGGGCTGTAAATAGACAAACGACTCACCTCGAATCTCCATACACAACTTAACAGGATAGAGCCGAAGATTACTTAAGACTACTAAACAACAAATATAAATCTTCCAGATTCTATGACCATGAATCGTTAGATCCATTGTCAACGCCCCATTCTATATATCCAATCTCACTGTATAACAACCTAAATCCTTCATAAATAAAATAGCAAATCCAGCTACAAAAAATTCCACACTAACCTTCAATCCTACTCTAATCCCCATGTACAATTTTCCACCCGATCAAGCTACCTAGGCCGAAATACATCAGCCTGGTTTCCCGCGCACTCCCTAGATAGAAAAGGCCACTCTATCTTCCAGAGTATTGAGGCTTCCCCAGCGGAACTTCCGGATCCGCTTCGACCGCGGTTTTGTTTAAAGTAGAATTGCTAATCACCCCCTAGAGGAGACTGCCTTTGGTAAAGTTTGCCATTCGTGTACATTACATACTTCGAATAAGCACAACCGACCACTGTCCATTCCCATCCGCTACTTCTTACGTATTTGAGGGACTCCGTCAGCATAATCCTCAATGCTATTCAGTGGTCCGATCCTTCGTATCCTGTGAGGCCAGGTTTGTAACGAAGGACACAGATAGAAAAATAGGAAAACAGCCTCTTCTCTAAGTTCCCCCCAGGGGTGTCACCACATACCACTACGAATCCATTTCCAATGTAGCAGGAGCTGGACTTGGAACATTTCTGCTACCCCGTAGTACAGACGGTTATGCACCCTCCCCTGTCTATGCAGACGGATCTGGTACCCTAACCCACGTGTGCCTCTGATAAAGCACCCACTGACCCGGAGGCAGACTCGAGCTTGTGCTTTAGAGAGGTTGCCACGCCCTCAAGGCTGCTCCATTATTTTGCACCTAAATGGAGTGGCCCTGGAGACTTACTCTCAGAAAGTGCGAGTAAATAAGTAATTAATGATTTAAGTTGGTAAGGATCAACTAATGGATTTTAATATGGCTTAAAAATGAAAAGATAGAAGCAACAAGAGACAATGAATGACATTAACGCTGGAGAGTAAATTTAGATTTATTTTTATTTATTTATTTTTTTAAGCTCAATTTCCTTTTATTCAGGGTATTGGACGCCCTAACTCATGGTCCCTTTTTTTGTTTTGTTTTGTTTTAGTAACGAGATTATTGAGTCACAAATAGGCTCTGCTTATCTCCCTGAGTGCCATCTCAGCTATTCATGACAGATACTCAGTGGACCCTCTTGTGCTCTTATTAGAGAGATTTGCTGAGATGGAGAACCTCAGAAAAATGGTGGTAGTTGTCTAGGTACCCAGACGGGCTGGAGGCAGCAAACACGATAAGTCGGCAAAAGCTGGGAAGTCTGGCCCTAGTATGTAAGTAAAGAACGTTGATACGGATGTGAGTCCAAAGAAAGTGTCAACGGATCAGATTGTCCAGAAGTGCTTGCAACAAATCAAGAGCGTGACTGAGCAATGACCCTCACTGAGATTAATTTGTCTTCGAATGTCTTGGTTACTGTTGACTGAGTGGCTCAGTCCTCCCAGCTCTGGCTGATCAAGTCCGTCCTGTCTGCTGCTTCAATGACCCTCAACCTTCGACTCATCCTACATCCACTCTTTGACAGTTGACCCTCCGACTCGTCTCAGCTCTAGACAGTCGACATAGTGTCTCGGCTACTGCCTTCAAGGCTTCAACTGTCTCTGAATCCTTGACTTTGAGTTGACCGACTTTGCTTTCCAAATCATCCTTTTTATACCGTTTCCCGACCAAAGTAGAGGAGGAAAGGAAAAGCAAAACTGCTGGGCCAAATGGTCACTTCCTTTCCTGAAAGGTGCAAGGGTAAGTTGTAATAATTGTTTCTTTTACACAGCCATGTTAACATACATGCAGCGACGAGTGAACAACATCTACCTGGCTGACACGGCCCCAAACTTATAGTGATCCACAGCTGGATTAATTGAAGGTTGGCAATAACAACTGAATTTGCTTTTTATTCAAGGTCCATACCTTGATATAGTGTTCGTATACTTGTTTTGTTGGTATAATGAGTGAGAAAGATGATGGCAGAACATAGGCAGGCCCTACAGGCCCTCAAAGTGTGGTGGAGGCTGATATGGCTAAATTGTCAGTAGCCCACAGGAAAAAAAAAAAGGATTTTAAAAATAACACAATCGTCAACATTCTGTGCCTAGAATTTTAAGAACCAAATGTAAAAATGCCATTGTTTATGTTAATTAACATGTTACCCTATTAAACGGTAAAATGGCAAATTTCATTGGTTATAATAAATTTAGGCATCGACTTTTAATAAAGATCAACACTAAATGAGTAATTTAAGATTTTACACTTAATTCTTACAAATTAAAATATCATAAAAATAAAAGCTTAGGAATGGTACATTTTTATAATAAAGAAATTCTTGTTTATAATTAAAAAAATAGTAAATTTAAAAATTATATTAGCCTGTTTTGTTTTTAAAAAACTATACACATTTATAGCTTAAACATTAATATTTACATATCACAATGTAATAAACATTTTTTCTTTTATCACATATTGTCTAAATTTCACTTAACCCTCTTAAATTTGTCTTCAAAATATGTCAAGTTGAAACAAACCGTAGAGTGATAAATCAAGGAACATTTATACTATGATGAGTGGCTAAAAACTCCATTTAAAAACAAAAATTTAAATTTAAAAACTAAATTTAAAAACCATGTTAAATTTTATTAAAGCACATCCTCTTTAAAAAAAACAACAATTAGGTTGTTTGAAAAGAATCAAGTATTATTATGTAAATCATAACAAGCATAAATGTACCTTTAGTGAACACAATTGCAACAAACAGCAAAATTAAGTCCATCTATTTCATAAATTGCAATAAAAAAAATTTAAATGAATCATTAATACTTATCAATTTATAATAAACCTTTCTGAAATACTCAAACAAGATTATAAAAAAATCAAATAGTCAAATTACAAATAAAAAATATTCTTGTTTAAAAAAAATTTTTAGAATAACACATTTTAACAATTAATTAAAATAATCAATTCAAGTATAAAATATAACAACTATAATTTAAAAAATAGTGGCACATTTACATGAAAAAACAACTGTACATAGAACATAAATCATGGATTATAAAAAAATCTATTCTTCGTTTCTAACGTTTTAACATATAGCCAGGCTGAACATGTTAAAAGTGACTTTAAAAAAAAGTGTTTATGAAGTGAATCTCATCCTTCCTAATGCTAATGACACAGAAGCAGTTTTGACTAAAGCGTTTATTAACGGAAAAACCAAATCAGTTCGTTCATAGTTGTAATACTGAATGCGGTGTTTTCAAAACTCACTTGTAGCATCATCTAGACCACTAATTGACTTATTTCAAAACCAATTCAGATCGTTTAAAAGACTAACCAGCTCAAAACAGACTCATAGGGTTGTCTAGACTACTACGTGGCTCAATTTGAAAACCGACAATATAACCAACTTGGATTGTATCGACGACTAACCAACTCATATGATCATCTACATCTACCAGACTCAGTTTCAAAACCAACCCAGATTGTTTAGACCACTAACAGACTCAGTTCAAAACCAACAGGTGGTACATGTGTTGTAACATTATACAAATATGGAAAACTCTCTGACTTGATTTTTCTCTCGATAAACAATACGGTCAAAACCGCTGTCGTCATTCTAGTACATGTCCCTACTTAAACTACCATTAAAAATCCCATTAAAAAATAGAAAAATATATAATTATTCGGGAAATTGTTTTAAACACTTGTGGTAATAACATTACAGTCACATAAAAACAATGGATCATTTTATATAATTACTATTTAAACATAGAGTTTCTACCTGTCTATTTATAAGGAATAAAAAATATAGAGAATTCTAATATTATTAGCAGTTAACAAATTTTCTGTGGAATTATTTGGTAGAATTTTATTGCATTAAAATCTTCAAAGGTGATGCACAAAAAAACAGTTCAATATAATACAAATTACACCATTCAAATTCATGACTTTTTTAAAATTTCAAAAAATTCCGTGTTTTTACAATAAAACATGTCAACTGTTGGTACATCTCCAATATCATGGTGTTCACTTCATTTGGAAAGACGTGTTAACTTAAAAGAGAACAAAAATGTATTTATAACAATTTAAAGGGCAAAAAAAATTATAAAAGTTTGCACTCTGAAAAGTAGACGTTAAATTCATTCTTAACAATAATTCATTCAAAACAAAAACAATCATACACATACAGCTAATTTAATCTTGTAATAAAACCAAAAAATGAAGTGAGAATCTTTTGGAGAAAAAAAATGCATAAATTATTTGTATAATAGATTTGTCAATATCTTGCATACCAGTGAAAAACATTTCTGAAATTTACTAATCTTTTAATTTAAACATCTTCTAATTTTGCTTTTGTAGGATGTTTTTATGCATCAGTACTCAAAGTTGGCATTATTTATATAATTTGGTCACCCCTAATCTCTACTTATAGATCATAGATTTAAATGACGATAAAGATTTTTAAACAAGTTATAAAAATAAAAAAACTACTTTAGATTTTTTTAAAAATTTGAATTCCACTACTACAAACTTTACAAAATTTCACATAGAATTTATCTTTATCGCCAGTTATTATTTTCACCATCAACACACCATGTTAATCACAGGAATATATTATATACATATTACATTTTTCCCCTTACTTTCAGCATTGGTTTCTAGAATGACTAAGATGAAAATTTAGTTAAAACTGTGGACAAATAAATCAAAGAAATTTCAAACCAACTTTGAAAAATTACTAAAGATTTGACCAGTTAGAAAAGAATTACATATTTAACAATGGAGCCAAATTAATTCAACTGGTTGGATTTCTTGTGAAAGAAAATTAAACAAAAATAAGAAATTTGCATACCCAGATGAAATTGAAATTGTTTATTTCATAAGAACAAAAATTTTTGTACCATAGAACTTTTTTCGTTTCCTAAATGATTTTAAGTTAGTTAAAATTGGCTAACAAAAGAGAATTCCAAGAGTCTTGACCTTTCAGCAGTTCTTCAGGTCACAATTTGGCCTTACGTCAGCATTTTTAATCAAACTCAATAATTAAAATTAATTTTATACTTTGAATAGTGTTTTTAGTAAATACCAAACCCTAAGTGTATTTTGTATAAACTACAGATTTTTAAACCGAAATTTTTGCCATCTCATCAATATACTGGACACATCTATATGTAGAATAGTGGAACCATAATACGACAGCAGAAGAAATATTCTGAATGACCATGGAAATGTAATACCCCAAAAATAGTGGCAAACCATTTCACATGTTCTTAAAATCTAAAGAGGGTTAAGTACAAGTGAAAACATTAAATTTAATCTGGTATTATAGTTTCACCAGTTTCGGGTATCCAAACGTATAATGTATTCGTATCTCTGTCGAGATCCCTTGTGAAACTTATATTGTCGCTATCTTGCCGCATGTTTAGATTCAACGGGCCGGATGCTGACGTGACTGTGTCTTGAAGGATGTTTTCAGGTTCGGCCTCGGGGATTACTTCTGGAACTGGGTCGCTTCTTTCTTCGCTTACAACACTGACATTATGCTCCTTGTTGTGTGTATTGCGATGTCTTTTCATATCCGACTTGACACGGAAAGGCTTATGGCAAACATCACAATTGTACGGTTTCTCACCTATACAAAAATAAAAAATAATTATATACTTTGAATTAATGGCTCTAGGTAAACACAAGGTTACTTTAAAGTGAATTCTTAAACATGAATATAGAAGGAAATTGAACTAGTTAAAAATAGGCAGTCCTCTGACACAGAACCACAACAACTAGGCGCACTGAAGAGTATACTAAAGTTATAAAATAATAGACAAAGAAAAACTCAAGTAGTGGACAAAAATACACCAGGTAAGATTTATAAATCTTTCAAAAAGAAAGGCAGAGGGGACGCTTCTCTCCCTCAGTAGGCAGAATTTGTGTTAAATTATAGCCCTCTACCAGCTAGTCTTAACTACCATATAAAGAAGATGGCCAAGGCGAGGCAGAAACATACCTCTTATTACATACCTCTTATTTTTAATAGAAAAAAATTTAATAATAATAAAAAGCAAAATTAGTGGGAGGCAGTTAGGTCGAGAGGCCTGTTGTGATGAGACGGCATGATGCATTTTGCGGCCTGTAAAAACTTGGCCACTGGGTTTGAGGATAGAGATGAGATTTGGAGAAAAAAAGGCTACTTGTCAGTCCTCGAGAGACAATTGAAGGAAGAGGTCTCTGCATGATTGTTCACAAGAGAAAAAAAAAACTTAGAAAGTCAGTGTTTATTTGTGTGTTCTGTGGTAATGGGTGCAAGCATGTTTTACACACCGAAGAGGACAGTGCAAGTCAGTGATCACGGTGCAGCCAGGACCTACGTGGATGAGCTGTCTGAAGGTTTTACCTTTTTCTTTTATCAGGCCTGATATAATTGGAACTTTATTGGTTGTCTTATGTTTCCCTTCTTATAGATTAAATTTTAAAAGGTAAATTGTAAATTTAGTTTATTTAAAAATTAATTTGTGTTACTTTTTACTCTTTAGTTTTAAATCCCTAATTAGTAAACATTCATTGTGTTAAAGAATTTGGTTCTTTAGAAACAGGAAGCACTTCATATTTGGGTTAATTAATGTGGAGTAACCTAAGGTAGAAGCCTTTATTTTCTCTTTTTTTAGGAGGGAGGCTTTTGTACAACAATACCGTGTGTGGTACCCATTTATTAATTATTTTTCCTCAATAAAATTTTCTTCCTAACACTTGTCACTCCCTTCAACATGTCCCCCCTTTTCCAGCTGCCACTAATGCAGGTAGCAGCTCTGATCGGGAGTGCCTAGCACTATGTCAAGAGAAACCTAACACAGCACATATTCTTTGTTTGGCATTAGCCCTGTTTTAGAAAGGCCTCTTTCAGATGAAGGAGTTCGGTTGATTCAACTGTTGACTCTCAACTAGTCAGTTGCCATGTGACTTAACTTCTCTTTCCAACATGTTGTTAAAACCTGAGAAAGCAGGAGCATGTCTTAGGACTCTTTCAGACGAGGCGGTTTGGTTTATTCAACTACGTTGCCCAGTTGACTCTCAACTAGTTTACTGCCGTGTGAAGACTCAGTTTCACACCAGCCAACTTGTGAAATCAACCTCTGTTCCCAACAGGAGGTCAGTGCAATGTTAGAACCCGAGGAAGCAGGAGTACTTCTTGTGCTTGCTCTTCTGCAAAAAGAAAAGCAAAAAAGGAGGAAACCCAGTAAAGAAAAGTAACTGATTGTACTCAGTTGTTATAAAATTGGAAAATGGGTGCTTTCTTTCAAATACTGTTGTGGCTACTTCTCTCCAAGCTTTGCTTCTTTTAATTTTATCAATACACTCCTCACACCTCATGTCCCATATAACGGGACTAATATGAATATCTTCAATAAACTGCTCCACATTGAAACTTGCAATTGCAACACTTTCCATGGCGAACTCAGTTGACTCAACTAGGTGACTGGTGCGAAGGACAAATGCCAAGCAGTGTCTTTTGAGTTGAGTCAACCAGCGGGGATGAGAACATGAGCGGCACTTGTACCACTGGCCACCCACCTGGGCGGACGAGTTGACTGGGTGTGAAGGGGTTGGGGTGATTCCCAAACATTTTGCTGCCATGTTACCCTTCTTGACACCTGTCGGTTCAACTAGTTGAATCACCTAGTCGCCTCGTCTGGAAGAGGCCTTATGCAAAAAAATAAGGAACTCGAGTCAAAGAAGTGTGGGTTCATCTATTGCTACAAAAATTGGAAAATGGGTGCTTTCTTACTCCTCACACTTAATGTTCTCTATCGTGGAAAAATTTTTTCAATGAAATGTTCCATATTGAAACTGCAATGTCAATGTTTTCTACGGTGGGCTCAGTTGGCTCAACTAGGTGATTGGCGTGAAGGAAATGCCAAGTAGTCTTTTTTTGTGTTGAACCAGTGAGGATGAGAAGTGGGCAAACGAGTTTACAGCATGTGAAGGGGTTCAGGAGGTTTCCAATCATTACCTGGCTACACTCAAACAACCAATCTAGTTTAACTAGTTGAATCAATTAACAGTGGTCAAAGAGTCCTCAGGTAAACATCAAAAGAGATGTGCAAAGACGCACTGAGGAAAGTGTAGTCTTATAAAAACAAGTGAACTTTTCAAGGTATGGTTATAAATAGCGGTTCCACAATAGACCTATATAAGTTAGAGAAAAGGTTTGGAATCCTTATTCATCCCCCCCCCAAAAAAAAGGATGGATGAGGTGGCAGGATTGCACCAAAAAAGGTGCGATGTGCACAAAAGAAAGGAACAGTCCCCAGTGGCCTTCCACGGAATAATGAAACTCCCCATTCTTACATTTCTTGCATTAGATTAACCAAAAGGTGACATTATCTGACAAGAAACACCTATTTTGGTTTGGTTCTGCAAATTTTCAATGAACAAAGGGACAACTTTAACCCTAGCGGTTTAAATGGTTATTCAAAGGAATTCTATAACAACCTGTGTGGATACGTCGGTGGTTGACCAAATATGATGAAGCTCTAAATGGTTTTCTGCAAAATTCACATATGTAATTTTTTTCACCGGTGTGTATGCGTCGGTGAACAATCAATGAATACTTTCTTGCAAAATCCTTTCCACAGAATTCGCACTGGTATTGTTTTGTATTTGAATGTATCGACGTCATGTGATATTTCAAATCTCCCCATTGCCGAAAATTCCGCCCGCAGTCTTCACATTTATAAGGTTTATCTCCAGAATGCATTCGCATATGGACCTGAAAATAAAATTTTTTACATACAATTTTTGGGTTTAATGCAGAAAACATACCCTCAGAGCATTGGCAGCGAAAAAAGCTTTCCCACACACATCACATTGATGAGGTCGTCTTCCTGAATGCGACCTCACATGATAAAGTAAGGAATTACGATGGCTGAAAGTTCTTGAACAATGTGGGCACTGAATTACTTTTTTCAATTTTGGAGGTTTTTCACCGTCCTTTTCATTGGAAGAGCCAAAACCCATGGAATCTTTTCTGCTCACACTTTGAATAGTCATTTCTGGGGGAATATTTAAGTTGTCTGAATACTTCCAAGTTCTAAAACGACATCAGCATTAACAAAATTTTCAAATTAACTTCATCCAATGTAAAAAAAATCACAAACCTTATTTTATCATCGACTTCTTCATCCCCACTTCCAGCCTGAATGTTCACAACATGTCTAATACCTTCCATCATATCTTCAGGCTCACTGAATTCGTCTATTTGCGTAAAAGTTGTATGTGCTGTAGTAATATGCGATTCGTACGCTTTTTCACGTCGGAACACACGTCCACAGATGTTGCATGTGAAATTTGATTCCTAATAAAAATATTAACACACTGTTTCAATAATGTAAAAATTTTCATAAAACAGCACAATGGAAAATTATCTCACAAAACTTTGAATTAATCTAAATGGTCAAAACTAATCACAACTTATTTTTACACTTAAAACTTATGTTAGGAAATTTTTCACGGTGAATCTGCTGGTGCTATTAGAATAATTTTAATAAGTTGGTGTTTAATAAGTTAAGCTTACCAGGTGATCATTTTTTTTTTTTTAAATGAAATGCTCTAATTTTTTCACACATTTTGAAAGTACTTCCCATTCTAAAAAAATTATACCAGAAGATCAACAATTTATTGATTTGTTCTGGAGATATGAAAGTTTTTTGTTCTGAACTTGATAATTTCATTTTATCATGTAACTGGTTAAAAAAAGGAGAAAATTGAAAATTTAATAAAATAAAATAATAAAATTTAAATTATGTTGATATTTTAAAACATAAATTAAACAGCAACATTCAGTTACACAATAAATTTAAATTACCGAGTACTAGAATGAAATCAATGAATTTTTGAGTTTCTGGTATTTTTATGTTTTTTATTTTATTTTTATTTATTTATTTTTCTTTAATAGAAGGATTTTCAAAACGTATGAAAAAATAGGGCATTACATTTGAATTTTTTTGATCAAATTACATAATAAATTAAAATAATAGAGTTCTGAAGGAAAAATTCAATATTTTCAGAAAGAAATGATGAATTTTGGAATTGCTGTTATTATTTTTTTACAATGGAAAGAACTTCAAAATGAGTGCAGAAAATTCAGCCTTTCTTGCACATTGTGAGTCGTTTACATTCCAAAATAATAATATCAGAAACTCAAAAATTCACTGATTCATCACGAATATTGAAGTTAGATATATTTTATTCAGTTAATTTTTTTTTCTCCTTTTTGTAATTTTTTAAAATAGTTAAATAAATTAAAATTTTCAAGACTTGTTTGAAAAAAAGATTATCACCAGGTCAACTTAATCCCCGAACTTATTAAAATTTTAATAGCATTAGCAGATTCTACATAAAAAATTACCTTTGAAAAACTCACAATATATATACATATTATACACACACACACACTACCACTTTGAACATAAAAATTTTATACATAAATCTTACCTGCTGCTGGGATGATGGCTGTTGCTGCTGCTCTGTCTGTGAATGTTGCTGCTGTTGTCTTTGTTGTTGTGGCTGTTGCTGTTGTTGAAGTTGTTGCTGTGGCTGTTGTTGTGTTGACTGGTGGGATTCATCTGACTTAATAGTAAATGAATCTTGAATTACCGGGCCGGATGGAGTCTGGTACTGAATTATATGCTGTTCCGATAATTCATTAGCTACATGAAGTAGGTTCGGCTCATAATGCGCTTTTAAATGCGCAAAGAACTTGATCTGGTTTGAGCACTGCGATCCACACAATTCGCAAGTGTACACTTTTGAAACATGTGTTGATTTATGCGAAAAATACGCGGCCTGGTTGTTCAGGACGAGGCCACATTTATTGCATTTGTAAGTGCGAGGAAGTATTTGCCTCGTATTTGGTTGAGTTTTCAATATCCTTGGAATCCTTTTCTTGTGCGGCAAACTTCTTTTAGCCGACTTCAATTCGTTACTGGCCCCTTCGCCTTCAGAATCCCCTTCTTCCCCTTCTTGCTGATCTCCGCTAATACTGTTATCACTATTTTGGTTCTCTGTCTTTAAGTCATGCGATTTGATCATGTCCTGGAAAAAGAATCAATATGATTGTTGTTCTTCGTTTCAAAATGCAATACAGGTTAAGTTGCTTCGTATGAAAGTGTTTAAAAAATAGGATGACCAAATGGAAAAATAGTACCAATTTTTTTGACAAACGTTGAATTAAATTGTGAAATGTGAGGTTTAATAAACCAGCAGCTTGATCAACTCCAATCATCCTGGTATTAACCTTTTTGGGAATCTTGACAAGTTATCTAGTTCGGGCTTGGAGTCTCTCAGAGTTATCTCGCCCTTGCGGTTTTTTGCCTTTCAGAAGCCTTAGCTGGACATTCACGGCACCTATTCAGCTAAGGTTGTATCAAATTTGTAACAGACACCTCAGTGGTGAATGGACACCTCCACCACCCTTCTTTTGCGTCCTCATCTTCAACGATACGTTCTTTTCCCCCCTTTTCACAATTTTGCCTCTCCCTCAAACTTTTGTAAAATTCAACACGCACCTTTTTCTGGAAATACCATTTGACCACAATATAAACATCTCTTTGGGAATGTCCTACTTTCGCCTAGCCTGCCCTTCCCAACCCTTTACCCTATTGTCTTACTAATTTTTCACCTCTTGTCTGCCAAGTGCCCTCAGTTTGAATTTCACATCGTTTACAATCATAGTAATTTTCAAAATATATTTTTGGTTTTCTTGTCCTTATTTATATATCTTTATGATGGTACTGGGGTGTACAGGTAGGTCAGCAGTATAGATAATGTGTGGTGTTTAGTGACCGTTAGTTAATGATTATTTGGAGATCCTGAGACCACCAGAACGCATCTCACCATCTCCGAATAAGTATAGATAATATAAAGGATGGGATCAAGAATGCTCCCTTATGACATGAATTGAATTGGGCTGATCTCATACCTCACTCTGAAGCTGCCAGTTAGGTAGGCCCTATAGAATCAATTATATTGCCTAATATTACAAATTGTGCAATATTTTTGACCGTTTAGGGTTAGTATTGAAGTTTGCTCAATGATTGAACAAAAGTTTGAGCAAATTTAATTTTTATTTGCACCATGTAGGTATTGTGCAATATTTTTTAGTTTTTTTAGTTTATGTCTAGCATCCGAAGGACGAGGACTCTCTTCATGTGTCTTGCTCACAGAAAAACATTATGCTTGGCCATCAATATTATTGCATGATAAATTGGGATCAAGATGCCATTCAATATTATTGTACAATAAAATTATTGTGCAATGTTATTTTACGTCTAGGGTCCCCCTTAAATAGAATTTCAGGATAAACTAATAGGGTAAGTAGTAAGCGTTTTATTTTATATAGGATACCAGGGTGCCAGACACTATCAAAAACATCCAGGAACCCAAGAAATATTCTTTGTTCTCTAGAGTATAAGAAATGATGTGATGATCATGGAATGATGAGAAGAATCTTATATACAAAAACTAAAGTTTCATTAAAAAAAAGAAAAAACTAACCTTGGTTGGATCTAATGAACCTTCAGATACTTGAACTTGTTCCAACACAGTTTTGTCCAAACGATTACGTAGGAGCGTTTGATTTGATAAAACTTTCTTTAAGGGAGGGAGAGGTGCCAGCCTAAGATCCTGTAAAAACATAAATTAAATATTTATAAAATAGGTAAACAGCGAAACTTCCCCTAAACGAACAAATTCTGATTCTCCAATCTTCCCATTATTTTCTTCATATTAAAAACTACAATGCAGACACTCCCAATAATGACTATATTCTGATTCTAAAACTCTCCCAATAGCGGACAGCAGCTTCCAGAAAATTTAATGTTTTCATGTTTGTTTTGCTCGCCTTCCAATATTTGCCCCATATTCCTAGATTTTGATTATGTCATTGGCAAACATGTTTAAGTCTCCAGTGTGATGACACTTAAAGAAAAATGCATATAATTAAAGTGCGAGACTTGGCTGCAAAGTTTTCTATCGGAAAGATCCAACAAAGGAAATTCTAAAGAATAAAAATTAACTTTTAATTTAATTTTTCAAACACGAAAATTACCGATCTTGAATCTTTTTTTCTCCAGTTTGGCCAAAGACTAGGACATATTCGAATAGTTTGGCCAGTGTAAGACACTACTGAGTGATCCACTTACTGGAGAAAAGATCTTGAGTTGCAAAACATTTAAGCCAAACAGACAAGCGTTTCAGATTGGCTTTACAAATTTAGAATACACACTCCATTTCTTTTAGAACCATTACTGGAGCAAAGGACCAAGGTAAAAAACTGGCTTAACAATACTGTGCCAATTTTGAATTCACAAATATAATTGTCATGATACCATCTTACGATTTAGAGCACATCTGGATAAAAACTATGCTGTTAACAAATGAGCATTTTCAGGGAGGAAAAGTTTCAAAGGAGGGTTTAACTTTCTCTTATACAAAAGTATACTCGGCACATTTGAAAAACCTTAAAAAGCTTCGGTGTTTCAAAGACGTTGATATTTTGTAATCCCCATTGTGGCTCATCTTGTAGTCCTAAACATTTTTTACACTCTTATCCCAAAGAAGACAATATTTCATTCCCTGAGATATCCGTTATAGGGAAGTTTCACTGTACATGAAAAAATTACTTACAGTCAGTGGTGCTGTTGTAGCAGGCTGAGATTGGTACAGTTTCAGCATCCTTTCTTGACTCTGAGGGTCCAAAAGTTGTTGCTGTGTGGGATCATCATCAAAGGCTTGGAAGTAGCTTGTGACCATAGTGGCAACAGTGGGCTTTTCAATGGAGACGCTCTGTAAAGGAGAGAGAGGCGCCATGGCTGTCGATTTCAGAAGCTCTGATGCAAGAATGGTATGTTGCTGTTTCTGCTGTTGGACCAGTTGTACAGCGACAAGTGCTGCAGCAAGTCGTTTGTCTTCCTCCGTCAGCTCGTGGGAAAGAAGCTCATCATCGTAATACTGACTACCCACGGCCGCAGGTACAAACTCATTGTCAGCGGTCAACTCTACTACTTGATGGTTCAAAATGTCGCCTGACAAAGGGTCTGTGACAATCTGAACTTTTTGCAGGTTCTCCGGCAACCTGTGGAGATTGATGTATTGGGCTCCGATAAGCTCAGTCGGCTCAGTGACGACAATTGTGTTTGCGGGGATTTTCGACGTGTTTAGCCTTGCCTCGACATCAACAGGGTTCAGCAACTCGTGCCGTTCAATGACTGAGGAGTCCATTTGGCTACAATACTTTGCCCTGCAATGAAAAGAGCAACATGTTAACTAATTAGAACTAAGTCAACTGTTTAGAAAATACATCTAGGGGACCACGGGAGAAGAGTGATTATCGTGGTAGACTCACAACTTGTAGACCTCACAATCGTGGGTTATACACACTCTCCCTCTACCACTACGAATTAATTACAATGCAATGCAATTTGCTCTGCTTTGTCTAACATAATTCATAAAGCCATTTAAAAAAATAAATTAATTAAAGTGGAGTGCTCAATTTTCATCACTATTTGCACTATTATCTATATCTAATTTAATTGAGGGTGGGTACTTAATAACTCACCACTTGCACTACACTAAACTAATAACTACATGCATTCTTAATACCCATAAAACAAGATCTCTTGTACTCAGTAATACCTACTTTAAATTATCTTAAACTCATTATAATGAAAGACTAAGAAAAACCCAGGAAAAAGCAAAAAGACAAAGGAAAATAGAGAAAACTATGTTAAATAATTATTAATAAAACGTGTGTAGATGTTACCAGGAATTCATTACAATGAAATATAATGAGGAAGAAGGAAATGCAAATCTGACAGCGATGATTAATGTGCGATCGTTTGAATGGATTTAATACTTTTATCAGGATTAATTCTCACAATTGAATATGATATAAAAAACCTAGTGAATTTTTGTTTCAATATGTTCATCCTAAATTTTAATAATCGCTGAAACCATAAAAATCAGAAGAAGAGAAAATATTTTTTAGATAATACCTACTTATGCATTGGGGATTTGCATTATTTTCTACATACCAGCAAATACAACTTTTTTTCTTTTCTAAGTATAAAATCATTGTTAAATGAATTAATTATTGTCTGTTTGAACTTTCCAACACAAAGGAGTCTAGATTTTGTTTTAAATCTCAACAGACAAGTTGATAATTTGTTTTAGTTGCTTTCTTTCTCTTCAAATTATTTTAAGCATATAAATAATTTTCTAATCTTTAGACTGGCAATTAAAATTATTTATATATATTTAGCTGCGATTGTAATAACAGCTCTGTTGAATTTAATCTTTGAAATGTTTTGATTCTCCTTGTACAAAGCCTGGTATTGTGTACTAAATACCACTGTATAACAACAACAATAACAATACAAATAACACTATATCACAATTTACATAAGAAGCAGGGTTGTTTGGGTAGCCAGTCCTACAGGACAGAGGGGCAATGAGGAAATCAATAAATTGGCCAAGGAAAGTTTGATGAGGACACTTATCGGCCCTGAACCATTTGAGATTAATTACATCAAGCCCGGTCAGATCAGAAAGTAATCACCCTTGTTTTGGTTATACACACGCTTCCATAGCCTACAATGTCCATTCAGCACTCCTATATCATTCTACTGCTGATACATCCTAGGTTTAGCAGTGAAACCCCTGTCCTAACTAGAGCTCAATCAAGCATTCCAACTTCCAAAGAATCCAATCCAAAATCCTTTGAACCATTGCCAAATCTATGAACTTTGTATCCAACCTTACTACTAAGCAGATCTTCAAGACCCATTTGTCCACAAAATCCCAAGCCCATACTGACGTGTCCATAAAACCTCCTACCCCATTCATATCAATCCTAAACTGTACCCCTTACATATGCAGAAGGTACCGGCCATCCTATCAGCCAGACCTAGTGGCCTTCCAAAACATTCAGGACCATATCTTCTTTTTGAAAGAATGCTTCAAAAGTAACTTTATTTTTTTTCCAAGAATTAAAAATCAATGGGCTATGCCAGGATTCAAACCCAGGACCACTACCATGGCAAAAACAAGTCGGACCTTATATCCTTATTGACCAAATCACCTTTACTTGCCCTTGCCATGAGCTATGTTGCAAATTCAAGTAATAACAGAATTAATAGATACTCTCCAATTTTCTCTACAGTACTGAAAGTAATCAAAAACACCCTTGGTTGTTATACACGTAATTGTTACGGTCGCAACTTCGCCTAGGTGGCCCAGCTGGTCAGTGGTGAAGGGGTGTGTTAAAGGATAAGAATGAAAAAAGTACCTAACCGAAAGTAATAAGTGTTGGGCACCAAGGAGAAAAGGAAAAGAAAAAAAATACATGGCTGCAGACTGGATTAAATCTCGGGGCAACAATTCAGAGACAGAGCCTCTATCCACTCGGATATGATGGTTTGTTCATCGAATCCATTCCGAAGGTCTTGAGATAGCACAAGCCCTTAATAGTTATTGGAAATAGTAACAATAATAATGATAAAATAGAAACCTATCAGATCCTTCATAAATTTATTTACAAAAAAAATCTTTTCTCCTTATTATTATTCTGTCTGATTTATATATTTATATATATTCTCCTTATTATTATTCTGCCTATCTTACAATATAAGGGATCAATTCCTCTGCCGGCAGCGTTAACAATTTATTCAGTGTAATTATCAACAATCAGGACAGCACTGACATTTTTTTGCACTCCCTTCTTATTAAAAACCATATTATAATTTGCACAAGCAGCCTCAGTGATATACAATTTTTGCAAAATATGTCCACATATCAAAAATTATATCGTAACCTACATTAAAAAGATCATCTATAATTTATATTATAAAAAAGAGGGTTTCTTTCATGTAGATTTAAGGTCACATGGGTAATGCGAAAGCTGACACACTGGCTTTATATGCTACACAGTTTTGCAACCCCAGGAAACAGATTCCCTATACAGACTTTTTCCAAATGTTAGAAACGTAAATATATAGAATAGAATGGCAAACTGTACATTCATCTTCAGACAAGGGAATGGCTTATAAGACCCTTTTCCCTCTCGTTAAAATGAAATCATGATTTAGCAACCTGGACATCATAGAAAAAGAGATAACTACCACACATTGATTAAGAACTAACTGTGGCATATGTGCTCCAAACCTTCATAAGATTGGCAGGAAACAACAACCCAATTGTGAGACGTGCGGAATAAAGGAGGACCTTAAACACATAATGCTTCACTGTCGCAAATATACATCAGACAGAAAATTCTTCTAAGAGGGTTTGCAGAAGGAAGAGATAGACGTCCATCTGGTGGAAAGGAGAGCTCTGCTGTCTCCCAGGGACCCCGATGTCTATAAGATTATTAACAAATTTTTGTGAGATATGTCCATGAAGACTATGTCGTTAAAAAGTAAATTTGTTACCCAGTTATACTTCATGGCTTATAAAAATTTTTGTAAATAAAAAGTCAAAAAAGTCAACTACATTGATGGACAAAATTAACGCACCATCCTTAAATTTTAATGTATTTACATTTATTCACATTTTGCATAGCACAAATAGGTTTGGTTGGAAAAATAAGACATTCAAAAAGAAAATGCTCATTACTTAATTCTTTAAAAAAATTGACTAAAATTATTGACTAAAGAAAAAAAAAAACATTTTTATTCCCTTTCAAACCGAGTATTTCCACCTCTGGCACGAATCACATCTGTTAAACACCTTTGCATTCCCTGGAAAAGATTTCTGCTAAAATCCTGAAGAATTCTTTCCCATTCATCAAGTACAGCAGTTTCCAACTCTTCTAAGGTGTTAGGATCTGGGTTAGTTGGTCCAAACTATGTTCAATTGGGTCAAATCGGACATCGAGCTGGCCACACCAAGCACTCATTTGCAATCTCATTCGGGTAGTCATCCACAATACGTGCTCTATGGGGCCAGGTATTATCCTGCATTAGCAAGAATTTCTCACTGATGTGGGGGCAAATGGCACATGCTCTTTAATTATGTTTTTAAGTACCTCTGTGAAGTTAGAGATCTTCCTTACGTAACAACCAATTCAATGCGGGCATCCTAGGAAATACCACCCCAGAACATTAATGAGCCACAATGGAATGCCACCTGAAGAACGATATAGCATGAGGCGTACCTTTCTCCTAAGCATCACCATATGAAATTCTGTACCATCTAAAGATCAGAAGCCAACTCTCGCCTCGTCTGTAAACAGAAGTTGTCTCCAATATTCTAATGTCAAATTCACTTGCTCCCATTTGAGTTGAAGCCTGACCACCACTGAGCTGTGGTAACAAGAGGTCCATGAGCATGGTGCCAAACCCTGATATTTTCATTAAGCCTTCTGCTTACATTCCTGGAGGAAATCAAAACATTTTGGACTTGTTTTATCAGATTTCTTAATTCATTTTCCGTAATGCTGTAATGCTTTGTGCTGCAGTTTCATAGAGCCTGACAGATGAATCTATTGTCTCTGTCTGTCTGTCTGTCTCTCTCTCCCCCTCTCTCTCGTCCATAGACCTAGGTTGACCTTCTCGTATAAAGCCCCGTTTCTCTGAAGCGCCGAAGAACCCTTCCCATTGTAGAGTGATTTACACTCAATCTCCTGGCGACTTCACGCTAGCTGTATCCTTTCTCTACTAATGTTATGACCCTGATACTGTCATACTCACTCAAATGCCTGGCTGGACACATGAAAATGATTTAAAAATAAGAATAATATCAAAGGAAATCAACAAAGCATAAAATTAACTGAAAGCTATCTTTAGGCAAAGGAGAATGGAAGGGCACAATGCTACTTTTATGTACAAATAGGATTAATCAGAACAAAAGTAAATAAATATAGTAAACAAAGCATTATTTACTGTTTATTTTGACTACTATAGCTCCTAATGCAGAAAGATATTGGATTTAATTTAAACTAAATAAATTGAGTAATGCGCTAAAATTATCCATCAGTGTATTAATCTTTATACCTAGTTATTATGGAATATAAACAAATAAATACAAGTGTCCTTTTTTATACGTATTTTTCTAGGTTTTCCTGCCACAAACTATTTCAAAGTTTCAAAATTTATAATTTTGTTTAATTTCTGAGCGTTCTGTTTTTTTTTTTTTTTTTTAAGTGTAATATTTCTTTTTCTTTGTTGCAGAAAACCTGAACGACTCACTGTGGAAAGGAATGAACTCATTCATTCGCCGATCCATTCATCGTCATTATTGTAGGTAAACCAGATGTTTATAGAATCAGTCTCCACTTTGTAATAAATATAAACATACAATAAGACGCTTAGATTGAATAAAAAATTAATAATAATAATAATTTGCAAGGAAAAAAATGTCGAGGGCTGGATTAGTTTAAAATGGAATGCCTTCCCCGGTATTGCGGAATGGGTGGTGGTCGTAATAAAAAAATTGGCCGGTTTACTTACGGAATTTGTGTACAATTTTAAATGTGGCGGTATTAAAAAAGGAGGAATCCTTATGAAGGATCCATGTAAGCCAAATCTCCTAGGTTTGGATGGCCCGTGTGAGAAGTGCGACGTCGGTTCGACGGTGGTCTTGTCTCACTTGGCTCTGAATCGGACTGGGACGGTGGCCGTCGACGGAGACCGGCCGCAATCTGCCTCCCAGTCCATTCCTCGCATTTTTCCGAATAAAGTCAATAAACTAGAATTTGAGAGAAGGATTAATAATGGAAACGTAGATATGACAACGCTGCTGGTGTAAACTGTGCCCAACTGTAGAGTACACTACCTCGGCCCTATCACTGACAACCGCCGACGTGTTACCTCAGTGATAACGGCCATATTCCATCCTTTCCAATGACCCAACCTATTGCTTCGCGAAATCGAATTTTTAACGAAATAGTTTATTTCAACCACACTCCGTGGGTCGAGAAGATTAACAGTGTGATCAGACTGAAAGAAAGGTATCCCAGTGTTAATGCCTACCGTAACTGGTATACAGATGTACATACATACATGTACATCTGTACATATAAGTTAAATAAACCAGGGACTTGGGGAATATGCTACTACCTTTTAGGCAGAGGATGATTATTTAACACTATGGCAAGCAGACCAAATGTCTTGGTGTTAGCAGCAAAAGAACAGCCGTATATTCTGACTACTTCATAGCACAGAGAAGTTTGGGAGCAAAATCAACCTAGTTTTGGTACCAAGGCGGAGGGGCAACGAGGAGGCCGACGAATTGAGCAAGGAAAGTTCGGTGAAGACACCTGTCAACTCTGAACCTTTCGGACACTTGTTTTGGTATCAGGCTAATCTAACATCCACGAACACTTTGAGCTTATCGGAGAGTGGTGCAAAAAGTGACAAGGCTGTGTGAAGAAAAGTGAACTTAAGTTCACATTGCAAAAACAGTCTCCACTGCACATCAAGAACAAAGAAAACCCGACTTCATTCAAGTCAAATCCTTACATATACTATACATCATACCGGTACCGCTATTTTTATATATAAGCTATAGCTATAGCTTATAGGAGACTGGTGCAAAAAGTGACAAGGCTTAGTGAACAAAAATGTACTCAGGTTCACATTGAAAAACAGTCTTGCCCTACAACAACAAAGAGATACCGACTTCCATTCATGTCAAATATTTAGGATTAAAATATAAATCAATTAAAGATTAGTTTCCTTGGTTCAATAATGTTTTAAAGTTCAAAAAGTTTATAAAATTAAAAATATGGAGGGAAATTTTTGACGACATTTTGGGTCGTGTCGTTCTCGTTCATTCCACCCGCTCAATGATGCATGGATCCTCAGTTTTCTTTTCTCCGTCGTTCGATTTGACTCGTTCGTTCATGAACAATCTCGTATTTGTTTGAGACTTTGAGTTGAAATATGAACATTGATCATCGGTCGTTTTATCTCTTTGTCCTCAGATAATGTAGTTTTATCGTGCTTGGCCAGTTGAGAAAGTGTTTTCAGTCGGAAATTTGCCATTTTTGGCCTGTTTCACGTCAAGTCGATGTCGAAGGATGTCCAATTTCAAAAGATGCTGTACTATTTTCAAATTCTGTCTGTATGTCGTCTTGTTCCTTCTCCTTTCCCTCTCGCTCATCGTCGTCTCTGTCCAACGGGGGTTGAACAATGAAGACAAAACAGCACTTTTCGGAGGGATTTTCGTCATTTTGGCGTTGCCCGTCTCTCTTTGGGAAATCATAAATCATTTGATTTTTTACTCGAGACCCTCACTCCAGAAACATATCATCAGGTATTTTGGAATAAATTATAACCAAAACTCTACCTTTGTTAACTTTTGGTACTTTGTTTCTTTAGAATACTATGGATGGTACCAATATACGCCCTAAACGCTGTGAGTATCTTGTGATTATTGATTAAATTTAAATGTCAAGTCTAATATGCACATGGGGCTCAAAAACTGCAATGCAGTTCATCGCCATTTTTTTAACCGTTGTTCAAGAGCATACAGGTGGGTCTGGAAGGTTTGACTATTGGGACGATGATGAGAAAGGTAGATCAGAGTAACCCAGGAGGGACTTTGATGAATCGAACCATTCGAAACCTGACATACGCAGATGATATTGACATGGTTGCCAGGAATTTGAGTGAGCTTGAGTTTGGTCATTAACCGCACCGAGACATATGCATTCCACAAGAGGTCAATGGCAAGTCAATTATGCTTCCATTGCACTGAAAAACAAGTTTTACGAACGCTGTAATACCTTTAAATATGTGGGAGCCCTGCTTACCGAGGATAACATTATGTAAGAAAAAAAATATGGGCAAGAGTTGTTACAGTAAACAACAACAGCTAACAAGCAGCTACTTTGTCTTGGGGTAGATCTTGAGGTCCTGATCTTTCAACTGCAATTTGAAATTGAGAGTCTGTCGGGCGATAGTGAGGCCAGTGGAACTTTAAGATTCTGGACATTGACGAAGAATTTTTGTGATTTTTGAAAGAAAAGTGCTCCGGAAAATGTTTGGTGCAGTGTGATGAATTCGAACAAACGAGGAGTTGAAAGTTTTGAAAGCCAGAAACCAGATATTGTGGCTGAAATAAAAGCTAATGCTTTTGATGGATTGGCTGTGTGGAAAGGATATCAGAGGGCAGGGCTGTAAAGAAAGATGGGTAAGCCAGGTGGTAGATGGTTGCGAGGAAGGCCTGGAAAGAGATGGTGGGACGATGTCAAGGTCAACTTCGGAAAGATGCCGATCAGATGTTGGGAGAGACACGCGGAGGGCAGTAGAAACTGGGCCAACATTATGGGCCAGGGCCCTTCAATGACTTTAGTGCTGAGTAGTTGTAGTAGTAGGAAGGTTTGCACTTTGGTGAGCTATTATGGGATCAGAGTCAGATCGGATGATATTAGGATAGTGATGACAAGGCAACCAGAAAAGTGTGGATTTAAAAGATATAATAGTTGTCAATATTAAAATTAATTTAGAAATATTTCATTCAGAGGAAATAATCTTCATTGACTTTGATAACCTTCTCCTAATGATTTACTAGCCTGGTGTTGCCGTTCTTATGGAAGTTAAGGTCACGGGTTTTACACAAAATAAGCTCATTTTCTATATGTTGGCGATTATCGAACTCTGAGTCTAAAGGAAAGTTCTTGACTATCTCAGAGTAAGACTTCTGATGGCCCGAAACCACTCTAAGCCATTGTGCATAGTAGAGCATGGCACACCTAGGTCTTGAGTAATGTAACGAACACTATGTTCATCATTGGCCAAAGCAATTTAGATTAGGCTTCTTTACAAAATGTAAAAAGTTTAATAAGGGATAGGTGAGAATCATTCAAGGCTTTGGCTTCTCCACTCCCAGGAGTCTCCAGGCACTCCTACATCTTTCTAATTCTAACATGTCCTAGATTAAATTATTTTACTGTTAGAATTTATGATTCTGCCCTTTGTACCCTTGGTAACCAAAACAAGGGTGATTTTGTTCTTGTTTGACAGGGGCTTGATACTATTTATGCATACATTTCTGAGTGCCCTGTTACATTCTTCCTTTTTATGTAATGATTTGTTTAATTTTATAATTAATTTTTATTTGTGTAATATTTTTTATGAATTATAAGCTTGAAATCCACATCATTGAAAACAACTTACTGTGAGTAGGAATAAAGATTGGACAACATAATCACTCCATTATTTATCATTTCTACTGCTTAAATTAGTTAAAACGGCTAAATGCATCACACTGTTATTTTCAGTGTCTGTCATCCCACTAAAACTTAAAATCTCTTTACTTTCCTTCTTTCATTGAGACATTGACTTTATCAAATGCAACCCCCCCCCCCCAAAAAAAAAGAAGATATTTCAATCTCCATGGTCTTGTCTGCCGATTTAACATCTTGTAGAATAATTATTCCCTCAGTGGATGTAAGTATCAGTTTACATATCTGACAACCATTTACAAATAGAGTATGATTCATTTTGAAGCGATTTATAGTCAGGCTTCTTATCTGTCTATATATGTTTTTTTGTTGTAATGTAATAACATTGCACAATACTATATAATTGTGCAATAGTACTGAATGGACATTTTGATCTCCATCGACTGAGGTGTTTTTTGATCTCCTTGCTGTAATTGGTCCTTAAAGAATTAAATTTCTTCACATCTTCTTTTGTTGCTCTCTTTGTGTTTATAGGAATGTTTCGCAGGTGTTTTTTTAAATTAATTTTTTTTTTTAAATCACATTCATGATAGGTAATCCTTGTTCTTAGCAGTCCACAGAGCAGGCAGTTTTCTATATAGCTGTAGACAATCGACGATGAACTCCCTTTCTTTAAGTTTTGTTGGTTACTTCACCATTTTGTCCATAAACGCACTTGAAGTCCTCATCCCTCGGACACTAGACATGGAATAGCACAATATTAGCCATACATGGTGCAATGAAAATAAAACTCGCTCAAACATCTGTAAAATTATTGAGCAAACTTCAATACTAACCCTAAAGGGTCAAATATTTGTGCAGTTTGTAATATTGTGCATTTTAATTGATCATCTAGGGCCCGCCTTAAATGGTATAATCAGATTTGCCTGCTGATCAATAATTAACACGCCAATGCGTAAAAATTAATAAAAACTGAGCATTGAGGGTACAAAGTGATGATATAACAGCCAAAATGTGAGGAAATATTTGCTGCAGTAAAAAAATTGAGAAACTTCCCTACAATGGACATTCCTGGGGAATGAAATATTGACTGCTATACGAGTGATAAAAATGTTTAGGATTACAAGATGGACAACAATAGGGATTACACGATATTGACACTTTGAAACACTGAGGATTTTTTAAGGTTTTTCAAATTCACCAAGCATACTTTTGCATAAGAGCAAACTTAAACACTCCTTTGATTCTTTTCTTCTCAGCCAGCCCTCGTTTTTTTTCCCCCCCTGAATTGTTTAATCCGAAGTGCTCTATGTATAAGACAGTCTCATCATAATAATGTTTTTGAGTTCAAAATCGGTGCAATATTGTTTTAAGTTTTTCCATCCATTTGTACCTCGATTCTTCACTTCACTAATTGCCTTAAAAGAAACCTTATGCCTTGTTCTATTTAGCTTAATGCTTCACAACTTCTAAGGCTTTTTCTCGAATTAGAAGACCAGACAGTGGTATTTTACAAGCCTGAGTATGGCCAAACTATTTAAATATGTCCCAATAAGATCTAAAAGTTCCTTTTTATTATTTAGAATTTCACTTGGCTGGGTCTTTCTGATAGAAAACTTTGCAGTCAAATCTCGCACTTTAATTATGTTACATTTTTCTTTAATGATTATTATTTTCTTTGATGATTGATCAACCTTCTCAGTTTAAATATATTTTTTGGAAATCGTGACACGCAGTCTGGTGTCACCTACTTTCTGTTCTATATAGCTGTTCACTGTCTGTGTCAAGTACTTCTGGCTGATGAATTATTTTATTTATTTTAATTTTATTTATTTATTTTGATTGTGTTGTGTCCAACACATTGGCCAAGCCAGTCTGAATTGACATAATTTTAAAAAGAAGTTTTAGTGAAAAGCTGAGTGGCTCACACCCGATCCACTTGGCGTCTGCGGCTCCATCATATTATTGTCAGACTTATTTGACAAAATAGATCAATATTTAATCTATTTAAAGTTAATAGTTGTCAACCAGAAATGTGAAAAATATGACTAAATGAAGAAATTTAGTCTGGGATTTGAAAGCCGTAGTTTGTAAATTTAGTTGATGGGTTGAAAAGGATAATACCAGGTAAAAAGAACTCCACTAAAACAAAAACAAAAAAACCTTTGTTGGTGAATATTTGGTTTTCACATCAATGAGGCAGGATCATTTGGTGACATTTGACCTCCTGGTGTTACAGTAAAGGATCCATTTTTCATCGTGTGTAACAATCTGGTCAATTGTGCTGTGAAAGCAATGGAATGGAAATGTTTGGATGTTGAAGCTTGTTACCATCGTCTATTTATGAGGAATAGCATTCTTCAGCTTCCACCTCTTCCCAAGTCAATTTAAGCTAGAGAGAATGGTTTCATTGCTTATGTTGAACAATGGTGAGCTCCTGACATGTTTGACTCAAATCAAGTTCGATAGGTTCGCTCAATTCGTCATTCAGGACAGAAGGACTACCAGACCGTGGTTCATCTTCAATCCCCTTATTCGGTTGTGTGCTCACTTACGACCATTATTTGTACAATTGTACAATCTCCATCATTGTTGTCTGGGGTACTCAGAGCGTAACAAAAAGGTAGGCAAGATGGCTAAGGCTGGGATGTCCCTACCTCCAGACTTAACCACCACAACTTGGCCCTCTGACGCTAAAACCACATTAAAAAACATATTTAAAATTAAGTGGCAGCATTGGTGGGCTGGATCACCAGAGAAGTGCTCATGTCTCAAAAGCAGTGTTCATAGATGACCCTCAGAGGATCTGACTCATAGAAGAAGGATCATCCTCGCCTGATTAAGGAGAGAGACCATGCAAGGTTGTCACACAGACACTACTTTTGGTCCAAAACCCCCAAGTATGTGTCTGGCATGTAGAAAAAAGTATGTGTCCCACTTTAAAGGGTGTCATTCATTGGTTCCATGTGCAGAGCATGTATGAATCGTGCATGTGGTAATCGTGCTTAGCTTTTATATAATTGTGCTTGTATCAATTCGTGAAGGAAATAGGGTTGTTTTATTGTATATAGCACTAATATTTTTGGGTCCCCTAGTGTGTGTTGAGAGTGAATGTATTTATTAGCATGAATGTGTAGTGTGAAAGGGTTGATGGTGGAATATCGAGTACTCCACCACCCTAACTGAGTGAATGGTATACAAATAGGAAAGAATGTATTTAAGAGTGAGGAGACTGATTATGACAGGGGCTGAATTTACATACCTGTTGACGGCAACTGAAGCCCAACATCAATGGCTGGATGGATAAGACCGCGGTCTGATCCTCGATTGTCAACACTCAGGGTGGTTGATTCTCGAGATCTGATGGTAATTTAAACTGTAAATTAAAAATAGAGGGTTCGAATCTCGCTCGTGACACTAGCTTTTTCATCTCGACCAAGTCCTTACATAAAAAGAATAATTAATTGAAAGAAGTCATTTGGCCAATTAGACCACTAAATATAATTGATTTAGTAAATTAAAAAGTTGGAATTGCTGGTATGATAAGGCTCAAGTATGTGCATGCATGTGCAAATTTGAGCTTATATAAATCAGTAATCAGTTTAAAATAATAGATTTTACACAGAATACTCACAGTATAATATGTGTTTATTTACCTGCATTCGCTTTGTCTAAATTTTTTTTTTCTAAATTGTTTTATTATTGAATTTGGTTTGTTTTAGTGGCTCGGCCTGGTACACCCAGATCAAGGGATTTATTTCGATTGTGCCCGTGAATGCTATGAAGCTTATGTAATATACAACTTTTTGGTTTATCTTCTTCATTACCTGAACGAGGAAATGGATTTGGAAATAAATCTGTCGCTGAAACCGCAAGTTAAGCATTATTTTCCTTTGTGCTGGTTGCCCAACTGGAAGATGGGGAGGTGAGAGTTGCTTTGAGTACTATAAAGAAATAAAAAAATCTAGTCATTTCATTTCAATTATAATTAATTATTTAATTAACTCATATCTTAACTTCAGTGTTTGAATTGTATCAAACTTCACTTTTTCATGATAATTGATTGTTAATATTTGAAATAAAATTAAAATAATTTCTGATCTTGATGTATGGGAAAAGTAATTCTTGTCTATTTGTCGGGAGTCATGGACGAGGTGTCAAACCACTTTACAATATTTTTTGTATGACCAATTTAAAAAAAAATCATGGGGGGCCTGGATTCTTACCCAAGCAAATACAAGTCTGACGCCTTGTCTGTGTATTGATGTATATTTTATCATATATTTTTTACATGCCTCTTTAGATAGTAAAAAATACTTATGAACGCCACATTTGGCATTTGAGCCATAAATATTTAATTAAAAAAAAAAAAAAACTTACGTAAAGCCTAACCACTACTTACTACATAACCTACTGACCCCTCGTTTGTGGTTGGTAGAGTTTTTTGTTTGTTTGTGCCGGTCATGTGATTAGTTAGGCTGTTATGTAATTCTTCCATTTATTTTTTATTTTTTCTAAACCAGGATCATTTCCGCAACACCTGACAGGTTGGACGTTAAGCCCTCCTGAATGACAGGAATTACTTTTTTCTTTACCAGGTTGTACCCCACCCTCTAAAGAAAAAATTATAAAATAAAAGAAACAAATAAATATTATTAATTGTAGGGGGGGGGCATTGTTGGCCGCAACGGTTAAGGCATTGACATGGTGTTCATCACTGATAGGTAGGGTCCTACACATAAACAAAAATAAAAAAACAATACAAAAATAATAATTATATATAAAGCATGGGGGTTAGGTGAATTAAAATAAATAAATAAAAAAGGCTACGGTTATGGGGTCATTGATTTCAATGAAACTTTTTAATGACACTAGATTGAAATATATTAGATGAAGGTTCCATCCAATTGGCCCCGAGAGTAAAAACAAAAAAGCTATGCATAAAAATGATCAAAAATTGTTATCAAAACTGCCACTGCTCACAGCTCTCTCAATTAGTTTGAATGAAATTTTAAAGGCTGTTAGTACATTGAAAAATATTAAATATATATAGGGATTTGGCGCAATAAGCCCCAGGAAACCTATAATAAATTAATTACAAAATTTTTTAATTGTTGAAAAAGCTACCAAGATTACTACTTAGATTTTTTCCTACTAGTATTCTTGTATTACCTTCATTGTCACTGGATGAAAATTATGAACAATTTCAAATTACAAACCTATTTCATACACAGGGGATGGTCTTTTAGTTAGATTTATTTTATTGTATATGTATGTATTTACATTTCAGCAATATAGTAAGAAATCTAAAGTTGGAAGCTTTTTGTCAATTACCAAATTTTAGCCTTGTGCAGTCAAAATACACCATAATATTTAACAATTTATTACAGGCTTCCTGGTGCTGATTTCTCTAAATCCCTATACATGTGTTTAATATTTTTCAATGTACTAACACCCTTAAAATTTCATTTAAACTGATTGATGAGAGTGCCGTGAGGCAGTTTTGTGAATGCAATTTCTGGTTATTTCTCCACATGAACTATTTTTTATTGGCTCCATTGGATTGAATGCTGAGACACTTGTCTGATTTTTTTGATCTATTATCACTGGAAAAAGTTTCATTGAAATCTGTGACCTCACGACCGTAGCTTCCTCTTGTCAGATCCGTCAAACTTTCCACGTTCAAAATTGTGGCTTCAGCCTTAATAAATTTATGAAGTTTTGTTTAGTAGAGTGGGCGAGATCTTTCACCTTACAGTTGTGTTTTAGAACGGATGGGTGAAAGAGTTCATCCACTCTAAAAACTTCATAATGGATTACATTTGAACCTATCATTTCATATGTTACGACCATTTAAATCATTAGAAACAGTTTCAAAGTTCTCATGAAGGGGATGTAAGCTTAATAAAGGGCTGAGCATTTATTGAGTAGGAATGCAACCGAACATGAGTGCTTGTGCTTGAGCACAGCATGAGTCTTTGAAGGAAACAGGACTTTCTTTTAGTATATAGTATTGATAGATATTTTGTTTGCATTCCCTTTTGTGTATATTGAGAATGAATGTATTTATTAGCATATGAGGGCCGATGGTGGATATTAAATACCCCTTCAATTAGCTTATATCAATACAACTTTCCACTCTTACCTATCCTGCCGTACAACCTCCAATGGATCACGTTGGAAAGTTACCAACAAATTACTAAAACCCACCACATCCTTTCCTCTCTGTTGCAGTTGAGGAATTTGGTCCTCTTCTGATCATGAAAAAACTGAAATTTTTTCCCAACACACATCCCCATTCATCCCAAGCCCAACACTGCTTCTAACAAAACAGAGATTCATACCTCAAGCCCCCTTTCCCCTCTGAACATCTTCAAAAACAATCACTCTTGAAATTAAATATAAAATGTATCATTACCTGGTTGCTGAATTGCAAGTCTCCTAGCTTTGACCTCATCACTTCCCGAATTCTCCATGAATTCCTTAAAAAAATGCCATAATCTTTACAGCAGTATACTACACACGTCCCTTTGCTTTGTAAATACTCAAATATCTTCCTTTTTCCTAAACCTGGCAATTCGCCCATAATTCGTCATCCTACTGTCCAGTTAGCCTGCTCCCTCTCTTCTCAAAAAAATTCTAGAAGATCCTTCTAAAACGATTGATCCCCACACAATTCTTTCAACCTTCTCCTAGACCACCAATTTGGTATTTGCTATAAACTCTCCACAACTCAGTAGGTGCTTCTCTTTACAGACCACATATCCTTATCCTTTGAATGTAAAGAATCCTGTACCTACCTGTAGATGTTATAACGTTATGGGAGCGTAAATTTATGACGTTTGGGATTGATATAGTTATATAAAAAAATAAATAAATACAAAAATAAGTCAATAACCGTTAAACATTAAAGGTTTTTGTATTAATAACAAATAATTGAATCAAATAAATTTTATAAATGGCTACAAAGAATTTAGTAAGGAAAAGAGAAAATTTTCTTGTGATTGAAAAGTACTTTCAACAATTAAGTATAAAGTTATTTTTCGATATCCTTTTCACTAGACAAGATGTAAAGTATAATGTAATGAACCTTGTTGAATTGAGCACCACCCGACAAGAATTCTACACAAGTTGTTTTTTTAGTCTTTGAGCACATCACACACTTTTTTTTACTTTCTTTTCTTTTCTAACGTTGCAAGCGACCGACTGTAACTTCAATCCAGCGTGGCTCCACATTAGGCCTCCGCCGTCCTGCTCTTCTGCCTCCTCAATCGTCGGAACTCTCTGTCTTATTTATTGTGCATGCCGTTTTGGCAGCCTTTATGAAATGGCTTGTCATAATGTGTCACAAGCGTTCGATTGCATGAGGTCCCCTGTACAATCCAAAGCGCATCCTTCCAAACACCTTTTATCTAATCTTTTGACGATTCTTCTGAGTTGGCCAAGAATTGGACTACTCCGACTACCATTCGTGGGAGTGAGAGTGCCACAGGTAGTGTCTTGAATCTTTACACCTCAGACATCCCAACTACACCCTCTACCCTCTTTGCATCCTTCAATGGAAAAAGCCTTGCTTTCATCTGATCCTGATCGTGCTATTGCCTCGGAGAAGCTCCAGGCACGTATCCAATGAATAGTCGAGTGGAACAAACTTTGAAGGATAAAGATTAATGAAAACAAATGCATCCATGTTACATTTACTCCCTGAAGCATAACCAATTATTCCAATTTTCTCAACATTCTTATTCCTAAAGCCAACAGTGTATGCTACCTTGGGTTCTATCTTGCTTTTTAACCTGGAACTGACACATACAAATAAAAAGGTAGGAACTGAACAAACCTTTGGATTACTCTATAAACTACTTGGACCCAAATCTAACATCTCAACAAAAAAGCAAACTGACACTGCAAAACACTACTGAAATTGATTTGGACATGTGGACTAAAACTGTGGGCTAAGCCATCTAGAGAATTCAGTCCTTTCAATTCAAAGTCCTTGGAATCATAGTCAACACAACCTAATATGCATCCATTATCCCCCTCCACAACAACCTCAACATACCATTCTAAACACATTAATCTCCACCAAATTTTGTAAGTTCCATGATAAACTCTCCACCCCCACCCATTAGTCCAATTTAAATCCAACATAATCCATCCCCCATCAGATGGCAAAGTGACGATGACCCTGTGGCCTCGCCAAGGACTAGCCCTTAAGTAAAGTTAGGAGAACCGTGGTTTAGGATGTTAACACTAGTAATAGAAAAGACTTTGGAAACATCCATAAAGAATATGGTGTGCACTTTAATTAGTTTGTAAATTTAAAATCATCAAAATGGCAAAAAGGAGGGAAAATTCCAAAGGTGCGGTTGAGATGGGAAGTTGGTGTCCGAGTGGATCGAGGTCACGATAGCTCAAGTGGTAGACCAGCGGCGTATCAAGCCGAAGATCGTGGGTTCGAATCCCGCTCGTGCCATTGACTTTTTTTATCTCAACTAAAAACCTTAATTAATTGTAATATGTTAATTAGTCAAGCGGACCACGAAATTAGTGAATTTAAAATCATTGTTGATCAGTGAACAAGAGATGTCTGTGGCCAATTACGTATTTATTTTACTATGAAAAAATTTATAAATGTTTTGTTACTTTTGAAAAAATTCTCAAAACAGCATTAGTTAGTTCGTTAAAAAATAAAATAATCTTTTTTTTTTTCCAGAGAGTTCGTGCACAGGTGTAAACATGGTATTTTACAATACACCATAATAAGGCCTTTAACAACAGGAATCGCTTTGTATGGACATTCTCATATAATATAAATATTATATTCTCATTCATTTTTTTTTGTTTCATAGTATTCTGTTCCAGCATATGTGAATTGAACGGTGTTTATGGTGAAGGTGAATTTCGTGTGAATGCCGCATTCCCTTACATCATCGGGATTAACAACGTGTCACAGTTTTTGGCGATGTATTGTTTAGTGTTGTTTTACAAAGCCAACAGGGAAGAGCTGAGGCCGATGGAGCCAATAGGAAAATTTGTCTGCATCAAAGCTGTCGTATTCTTTTCGTTTTTGTAAGGTCTTGACATTTCACACACTTAGACATTTTTCAAACCTATTTTTTTTCTCTTTCAGTCAAGGCGTTTTAATATCAATTGCGGCTTACTACGGCATCCTGAATATGTATTTCGACGTTCCTAAAGATGTTTCTGCAAATTATCTATCCAATAGAATACAGGTGATCTTTTTAATTTGGGTTATACCTAATGTAAAGTTTACTAATGACGTTTTTTTTTTTCTAGAATTTTCTTATCTGTCTGGAAATGTTCATTGCCGCTATCGCTCATCACTACAGTTTTTCCTATAAACCTTATGTTAATTATTTGGTTGAAAATGTATCATTGTGTGATGCTTTTTATGCGATGTGGGATGTTTCCGATGTCCAAGCTGATCTCAAAGAACATTTCGGCGTGGTCGGTAAGGCGCATGAAAGATTATTAAATCTATATTCTTGTTGCCTTTTTTATTTTATTTTATTTTTTTAATAGACTCCTTGTCAAAAATATCGCATCACTTATAAATCCATGAGAGACATTAGTGTTTAATCATATCATTTAGTTTTTACCTCTTGTTAGCTCCGGGTAGCAATTTCTCTTGTATTATAGTCATCACTCATGATGTCTTAATTTGCTAATAGCCTTGGCATTAACTATTGTCAGTTTCAATGGCTACTAAATGTCTAGAAAGACTGAGTCACTCGAGGCGACCCAGAATGACCCATACCATAGACGGCTTTATTAAAATGCAATCAATCAGGAAGTACAGTTCAACAGCTTTTATTTAAAAAAACTTAATTGTTTGAATTCTGATGTGAACTGTTATGAGAAGACAGAGCAGAAGCCTAAAACACCATTGATCTTCCGGGGTTCCAAATTTTTTAAAAGATTTGTCCTCTTTGTCCCACAGCCGTTGAAAGAAAAGGAGTAGGAAAATGTCAAAAAGGGCCAGCAAAAGGACTATGGACAGAATTGTTAGGGTGCCTAAACATCAGGTACCCACATGCCCAGTTGTTTAGCTTCTATCAATTTCCTCAGATGTCAATTGAGCTTATACCGGCATGACACATTGTTAAAAGTTGAATCTAAAAACTGCTTCAAAGTGAGGAAAAATAACAGTCAATAGAAAACAGTAGCGCATTAGAACAATGGCCTGGGACGTCAAGAACCCATCACAATCAACAGAGGTGGCTGCTTTTCATCAGTGGCTCATTGTCTTAGCCTCCGCCTGTTAGGGACAGGTTAGACTAGAATTAGGTTAAGAATGGGTTAGGCTAGAGTCAGAGACGGGTTAGGTTAGAGAGTTAGGGAAGTGTTAGGTGAGAATTATGGGCAGTGGTTAGCTTCTTCTTGGAATAATTACCATGAGAAGCATCTGGAAGAGGGTGAACGGTCAACTTTTTATACCATTTTTACGTTCATCATTTCACAGTTCTTCCTAGTATAGTAATACTCTATTTCCAAAATTTAGCAAAAATTAATTTTAAAAAATTTGGAAATGTTGAAAAATGTGTAGAAATACATTTTATAGTTAGCATTATTTATTGTTGTAATAAAAAATTTGTTTAAAAATTAAATTCCTTACAAATTAGCTGAAGAGAACAACAAATCGTTAAACTTTTAGATGTTATTCTGTACAATACCCTGAAAAACTCACAATATTTGAGCATTAAAAGCATTTAACAGTCTATTCCTCAATTCTGTAATTGTATTTAATGTACAAATAATCAAATCTTAGCTTAAAAAGTAAACAAGGTTATTGAAAAAAATTCACAGCCAATTTTCTCAGGCATCAATCGTGGAGCTATACCGGAACAATGGATTTCGTTAGAAAGCTGTTTTTACACTAAAACTTCTTCAAAATAATAACCAATAGAAAATAGTATGTCCAAACAATGGCCTGGGTCACAAATGAGACCCGCCGCCCTGGAGGGAAGCAAAATCTGGTCCCACTGCCCTGAATGTGAGGGCTTTAACAGAGGTGACTGCTTTTTTCATCAGTTTTGTCATTTCTACCTCTTCCATGTTCCATGGTTGGCCAACTGGACGCGTCTGGTCAGGGTGTGTTCGTGTGCTTTGTATTTTCCATCCTTTTTTTCTCATGTTGCCAACATACTTTTTTTCACCATAAACTTTCTTTGTTCATTGAAATAATGGTGCCACACTGGTGTACTCTTTTGGATCGTAGTCCTTGCTTATTTGCAGCATACAGTGGGCACCATAGAAATACTTGTTCCTGTCTGAAGCGATAGAGTTTGCTGGCAAAGTCTCTATGCCCTATCAGGAATTGTGTCACATAATGGTCCTTTTACAAAATTGAGGTTGACCCTTTCCTCTACTGACGGGAAAATCCAGTAAGTGTGCCTTCCTTTAATTGACTAGCTCCATCCCTGCTGACAGACTTTTAGTGCACTTTTTGCGCATCCTGTTCAAGTACTTTTCATATTTCCCACTACCATATTCCACTATAAAAAGATCTGGAGAATGATACAGTCAGTGCTGCACATTGGAATCATTTCAAGGAAGGTCTGTCAAGTTCTGTAGTGACATTTCTTATGAGATACCAAAGTTAAAGTTGTTCCATGTGAAGATAATCTTAAAATATTTGTATTGCCTTTAAATCATTACTTATGCATGATAATGCTTGGTGTCGTGTGTTTTTGAGTACCTGAACACTGTGGGTTTACATAACCTTGAGTGGCCTGGAAGAAATCCGGTCCTTAATCCAGTTGAACAGATTTGAGACAATCTTAAAGAAAACAAAAGAAAGTTCAATCATAGAATCAATTCATACAACCCTCGAAATTATAAATGGCAGCTGTGTAATGGAGTGGGATTGTTTGTGAGCTTTTTTATTTATATAAAACTAGATGGTCTAGTAAAATTAAAATAATAGGTTTATTTGTAAGGAGTATATGGTAATACATATGTACCAAAACATAGTTCCAAAATCTTTTCTTACATCCATTCATAAATTGAGATTATTTCTATCGTGTATTGATTTGTTGTTTGAAGAAAACTTTCGTCTACTTACAGGTGATTTAATTATGTGTTATTTTTTTAGGAAGTTCGATTAGCAATATAAATACAAGGATAAGAGGACATTCGACTAATGACGAAGAGCGTTCTCCCATCTCACCAAATTGTCAATCAACATCCACATACAGCAGTATATTATCTTAACACTTTCGTTTTATTACGACTCCTAGTTGAAATTGTAAGGACAGTCAGTGTCGTATTAAATATGACCATTCTAATTTTAAGCGTACAACAATAACTGCTGAGAATATTTTGTCGTTTTTTTCTCTCCGTTCATAAACTAATCGGGGAAATTTTTCCCGTGGGAGTTTTCATTTTTTTTAAGCTTTTTGAATTAATAGTTTTTTATTTTTTTTTACAACTTGTAATTTAGGGTAAAATTATATAAAAAAATATAAATAAATAAACCTTGTGTAGACTGATCTTATAAACAAGTTGTAATTATTATTTAAACTTTGTATGAAAAAGTAAATAATTTCTAATGAGAATGAAATCATACATTTCTTGATAACATTTACGTTTCCTTTTTATGAATCATCATCAGCCAAAATTCATTCTGGCTCTTAATTATATTTAGAAAAAACTGAAAAGCAAATGAAAATGCCTGATTAATCAAAGTGCAAATTATCTACCTCTTATTTATTATGTATTAAAAAAAGGTTTTTATAGTTTATATCACTAAATGTAAACTGGTATTCAATTTGGGTTATTTAGTACTAAATTGTTTTAGTAGTCATTAATTTATTATATTGCCTGTGATGTATCATATTTTAATGAAGTTGCTCAACGTTTTGTGTGCAAACATGGTCCTTCATTTTTGTTAACTTTTTGCTTGTTGAATTTTTGAACGGACATAGGATAATTAATTTGTAATTGTAAAAATTCATGTATATAAGTTAATTGAAGAATTATATTTTTTTACTTTTAAGCAATTTCACTGCTAGAGTTAATAGAATTAATAAGTAATCGGCTTCATTGCTAACTCTCCCCCCCCCCAAAAAAAAAAAAAATCCGTAATTTTATTTAAAAAAGGTAATTTTGTATTTTTTAAGAATTTGTAAATTGTATTGCATCTTTATTAAATTTGCAATTATTTTGTAAATAAAAGTATATTTTATATGTTAGAACAATCTTGTGTAAATATTAAAACTGGTTGACAAAAAATAAAATTAAATTTAAAAAATAAATCATAATGGGTAACTCAAAGGTCAACAATTTTCCCCAAAAATCTATTTTACAAGAATTGCACGGGAAATTTTTGATCTGCTTATCCTCACTGGTTTGGTCTTACAGATGTGTTTCACTGTCTTCAGTGATCAAAAGTTAACAAGGTACAAGTTCGATGCAGGCGTTCAAATGTACTCATGAGTAACTTTCTTTCCTTTTAAGTTATATATTGAAATATTGCCCAGGTTCAACACATCCTCCAGGTATGCAATTTGTGCTTAAATCAGTAGGGCTCATAATAGTATGAATAAAATGCTCCAAATACGCCAGGGTAGAATTATTTATTATTTTTATAATTTATTTATTAGAATTTTATTATTTTATGTATATGTAAATACTAATAAATGTATAGAGTGCAGAATGTAAACATTCCTTTCCACTCGCACTGCCTGTTCTTTAAATTCTGAATGAAAAATGGTAAGTATCATCGCAAGTGACAAGTTTACATACTTGCACTACCACTTTTCAATTGTACATGAGTAGGGTTAGGTTAGATATGTGATGAGTTAAGAGTTAGCGAAAGGTTAGGGTTAAGTTGAAGTTAGAGACGAGGGAAAAGAGGTAGGGACAGGTAAGACTAAAGTGAAGAACAGGTTATGCTAGAGTTATTGACAGGTTAAGGTTAGATTAAGGTTAGGTACGGGTGAGGCTAAGGATGGAACTGGATTCCAACTTTTGTAATGATCCTAATTTATTGTTTTAGGTCCTGTGGTATAAATTTATCACAAGGTGAATACACAGAATGAAAAGTGATTTAATAATGTATACCTTGCTCGAATAAGTTATTTCTGATGATGCACTGTACAAGAAGTATGGTCATTTTACAGACATGCTTGTTATAAAATTGTCTTTGGATCAGAGGTAAAATTCCATAAATAAATTTTAAAAAATATTAAAAAACAAGGTAATTATTATAAATATACATTTCTTCTGTCTGTTTATTGTAAAAAAATACATTTAAAAAAATTAAATATATATAAAGTGCATTATATAAAAATTAGAAAAACAACCAACACAAATGGACGTAATATTTGAGATTGAAAATTCAAAAAAAAAAAAAATCAACATAATGAAATAGAAGACCATCTCCATTCGATGGAAGACAGCACAGATGTAAGGCACTATGGCTACACAATGAGCAAAATTTGCATATCTCCATGCTTACATTATATTTGCAAACTATAAAAACCTTCAATTTCATTTTGTACAAAATAATTAACTTGATAAAGATAAATATTAAGCAGTGAGATTATTGAGAATTAAGATTCTTGTGATAAGCTTCAATTCTGAGTAAATTATCTTATCGACTTAAATAAGAAAATAAAATTTACAATCACTATTCAATAAAACAAAAATAAAAATATTAAAAAGTATGAGGCATTTATAGTGTCTTCATATTTATACATGATCAGCCTTGATACATGATCAAGAGTTGTATTGCTTTATGTACAAGTTTGAACATTATTAACATTATTTTTAAAAAATTACTTTGGACCATGAGCTCTATAAGAAAATGTAAAATTGTATGAACAAACCAGTGCTCTATCTTAAAAAAAGAAAAATCTCATACATTTAGCCAGTCTTTGACTTGTGCCAAATACTACATAAATTTTAGTAAGTAACATGTAACAATTAATTAATATGGACGGAAAAATATCACAAGAAGTGAAACAACGAGTGAGGCAAAATAAGTGCAGGTACTGGCCGCACTTCGTAGTATTGTGTCATCACCTGTAAAAAAATGAGAATATCTGTGATTTTTAACAAGTTGATTTGATTATCGATGATTCTTACCCATTTTAAATGTAAATGCCGGAGACGACATACGGCCATCTCCTCCATTGCTAAATGCCAACACCCTCATGTTGTACGTCTTCCCTGGAGAGAGGTTTCTCACATATGCCTCCAATTTTGAATCGACATAGATTATGGTGTCATTTGCTGTACTCATATCCAAATCCACCTCCCAAACTCTCACCTTTAAAGTTTATTTATTTAATAAATCATTCATTTCATTAAATCATATCTACAATATGTTCAAAATTAAATCATTCAATTCAATAATAAACTGAAATTTGTGACGCAGTATTTATTACTTAAAATAAGCCCCTTAAAATTAAAAGCCAACAAAGAGAAAATAGTAGTTTTAAATGAGATAAAAATACAAAATTGTTTTAATAATAAAACCCTTTTTAAAAAGAAAAGTTGTAGATAAAACAACTGCATCACACATACTTTCTTCACATTACAGAAAACAATTGAAACATGGATATCTTACCTTATATATATATACCTTAATTTGTTGAAGACAAATTGTTGCCAACCTGTTCCTACCCCCAACACTAACCAAACCCATCCCTAACTCTAATCTAACCCAACCTAACCAAACCTGTCCTTAACCTAATGTGATCCTAGCTCTAACTCTAACCAGTTCCTAACATAATTCTTAACTCTAACCCAACCTAACCAAACATGTCCTTAACCTAAATGATCCTAGCTCTAACTCTAACCAGTTCCTAACATAATTCTTAACTCTAACCCAACCCATCCCTAACTCTAAACTAACCAGTTCCTAATCTGTCTCTCACTCTAACCTAATTCTAACAGAATCCGTTCTTACCCTCTAATCCCACTGGCCCCTTACTTAACGCAGCCCTAACCAAACAAACCTGTCCCTAATTCTAACCCAAACCCAGCCCCTTCCTAGCCCTAACTTTAACCACTTCCTAATCTAAATTGTCTTTCTCTAATCACCTATACCTACCTAACACAACACAGCCCAAACTAAACATGTCCCTAATTGAAACAAAACTGAGTCACAAACAAGCCTGTCCTAACTCTAACCTAACCTGTGGTTAACCCTAACCCAACCTGTCCCTACCCATGACTAACCCAACCCGGCCCTAACAAAAGTTAGGACCTTTCCCTAACTTTAACTTAACCTGTTCCTAGCCCTAATTACACCCTAACCTAAATTTTCTCACACAAACACACACACCTAATCAAACCCATCCTGGCCCTAACTCCACCTGTCCCTATCCTTAACTCTAACCTAACTCAACCCTAAACATACCTGTTCCTACTATTCTAATCTAACACATTCCTAACCCTAATCCAACCCATCTAACACCAACCTGTCTCTAATCCTAACCTAACCTGTTCCTAGCCCTAACTTAATTCTCCCTTACTCTAACTATATCCCAACACAATCTGTCTCTTTAGATACCAATAACTTTAGCCCAGCCTATCACTAAACTAACTCGTCCCTTACTCAAAACTGGCACCACTCATGGCTTTTTCATTGTGAATAATATGGAAAATGTATTGTGGTTTGACTCCTCAAATGGAGACCCAATGGGTAGTTAAGACATTATGCCTCCGTGAGGCAGGAATTTTTACTTTGCTAAGACTCACTGCATTAGTATAGACTAAACCATTTATCATTAAAAAACATAAATCCCGCAAATTTATATGTGTATACAAAGCTACTTTCATACCTTGAATCCAATTAATGGCTCTTCTTCATTGGTGGGCTGAACATATCGCCAGACAACTCTCACTGTTGATGGATCAATGGCAAATATATTAACTGAAGATGGGGGTTTCTGTGGAGCATTTCTGAATGTTTTCTCTGAAAAAGGTTGAAATTGATTTTTTTTATAATCAAATAGATTTATCTATGTTATTTTATTCATAATTACCCAAGTATCTTTCACTTTCAGGACCCTCTCCAGCTGAGTTGTAAGCCATAACTTTAACGTAATAGTACGTATTTGGCTGCAAGCCTTTAATTAATGCCCAAGGTCTGGTACTACGGCTTAAATAGTACACAGCATCACTCTCTTCGTTTTTGGACATCCAATATTTGAGCTGGAAATAGTAAATAATCAATTATCCATCCGTAAGACATATTGTTGAATACAAATTAAAACTCACCCTGTGGCCGATTAATTTTCCTCTGACTTTTTCTCTAGTGTTATCAATAGGTTTCCACGTGACATTTACAGCCGTCGAGTTATAGGCGAGGGCGTAAACTTGTTGTGGTGCTACCTGTGGCATATCCTCGGCTGAGTATATTGTTGTGATATTTGATTCAGGTCCATAACCAAAATTGTTTGCAGCCTGAAAGACAATCATAATAGAACAATTGAATAATTGGTAACTATTTATCTCATACTGTATGAGTTTTTAATAGTTATGTTTTCAAAATATATTATTAAAGTAGTTTTCATAATAAATACAAACCTGAACTTTAATATCATACAGAGTATAATAATATTCGAAGGGAATCCTGATCACGGCGACACCTACATTTCCTTGATGATTAAGCACTTCAAACTGAAATTCAGTTTCTGAACTGTTGTGACGACGCCAAAAGATCTTGTAGTAAATTCCAGGCCCATTTTGGTGTTGGGGAGGCATTGGCTGAAAATACCATCATATAAATACAAATATATGTAAAAAAATAAATGGTACAGGGTGAATTCATTTACCTCCCAAGTGATAATAAGGTCGCCAATCTTTCCTCCGCCTCCACTTATCTTTTCTGGAGCTTTGTACGGTTTGTCATTAAGCGTGCTGTACTTAGGAGAAGGTAATGATGGCTGACCAATGCCTAAAGCATTCACTGCTTGGACTCTGAATTCATATTGAGAATAAGGTGTTAAATTACTGACGCTCGCTTCTTTTCTGCCATTGTAACGATCAATCTCCCTCCCTCTTGTACCTATGGTACAATACGATAAATAAGGAAAATGAGCCAAACTTGGGCAAATTAAACATACTTCTCTCAAGGATGGTCCAAGTTTGATTGTACTGTGTTCTCCCTGAAATTTGGTAGTACAATACTTCCCTTCCATGATCTGAGCCATCAGTCCATTGCAAGACAGCACTAACGGTATTTGTGCTGATTACTTGTACACCCCCTAAAAAAAAGTAAAGTCGTGTAGTATTTATTTTTGAAAAATTCATCTTCAGATATTTATTATTATTTACATTTCTTTATTATTACATAATATTATATAATAAGATATATAAAATAGAACTCAACTTGTTCCTAACCCCAACCCAACCTGTCCCTACCCCTAACTTTAACCCAACCCTTTCCTAACACTACGCTCACCTGTCCATAACTCTAACCTTATCCTAACTGAACCTGTTCCTAGTTCTAACTCTAACCAGTTCCTAACCTTAACTGTCTCCCACTCTAATCTAACCCTAACAGAACCCATTCCAAATTCTAACCCGAGTTGTCCCTAACTCAAATTCGTTCCTAGCTTTCACCCAACCCATCCCTAGAACTAACCTGCTTGACCTATTCTAATTTAACCTGTTCCTAGCCCTAACACTAACTAGTTCGTAACCTATCTCTCACTCTTACCTCACCCAAATCTATCCATCTATATAAGCATAAAACTAAAATAAAATGTAATTTGTAATTATTTTAATTACCTGGTGGTCCTGGAGGGCCTTCAACAGTCAGTGTTGTCTTTGTTGAAATTTTCCCAACAGCAGTTTTTACAACACATTCATATTCACCAGCCTCGGAAAACGTTACATTGTATATATTTAATTGACCACCTTCCACTTTCTAGCAAAAAAAAAAGAAGAAAAAGACATATTTTATTTTAACATACAAATTATATTTTTATAATATAATTCTATTTTATATGTGTGATGATTAGTGACCGTTAATCGATATTTATTTAAAAATCGTGAGATGTGGTCTGGTGTGATGTAGGTTTCAGAAAAACATTTTCTTTATCGTGCCAACGTTTCGATCTTTATTGAGATCATCTTCAGGACCTGGGATTTACAAACATTGTTTACATATTACTATTACATTTTGGATGTGGAAAAAAAGTGAATTTATACAATGCAAACTATATTTTATATATTTAATCAAAGTATTTCTACTCATTCAAAGTGTTTGTCTTCTGTGTAATTTTTTCATTCTTGCGTGTCGTGTCGAGAGTGCCAGTGAGATTTTGCTATTTTGTGTTTAAATACGTTGGATTTTGAGGGGGTGTGGAAGGATGTTGGTATAGAAAAGACATTTTTGTATAAGGCGTCGGCTTCTTTGAGGTGAAAGGAGCTGACAAAAGGAAAAAATGTGTTGGTAATGGTTCGGCCAGATTATCCTTTCAGGATTATATAGAAATAGATAAATAGGAAAAGGAAAGCAGAATTGTTGGGAAATTAAACTATGTGAAAAAATTCAGTTTTCCTTTTCCTATTTAGCCCTTTCTATATAATCCTGAAAGGATAATTTGGCCGAACCATTACCAACACATTTTTTTCCTTCGTCAGCTCCTTTCACCTCAAAGAAGCCGATGCCTTATACAAAAATGTCTTTTCTATACCGTCATCCTTCCCCACCCCCTCAAAATCCAACGTATATAAACACAAAATAGCAAAATCTCACTGGCACTCTCGACACGACTTGCAAGAATGACACAATTACACAGAAGACAAACACTTTGAGTGAGTAGAAATACTTTGATTGAATATATAAAATATATTTTGCGTTGTATAAATTCACTTTTCCACATCCAAAATGTAATTGTAATATGAAAACAATGTTTGTAAATCCGAGGCCCTGAAGATGATCTCAATAAAGATCGAAATGTTGGCACGATAAAGAAAATGTTTTTCTGAAACCTACATCACACCAGACCGCATCTCACGATTTCTAAATAAATATTTATTTTATATGAACAGAAAACTTACAACTTTAACGTTTGTGTGGTAAGAATTGATAATCAGCATCCCATTATGTGTCCAAATGTAGGCTATATCTAAAATTTCTTCGGATGATGCAGAACAATACAGATAGATATTTTTCCCAGTCGTGGTTGTAATTTTTGGAGGTAGTTTTTCTATCAATGTAGGGCCCTCTGAAAAATAATTTCAATTTTCAAAAACATCACATTTCACTTACATATTAAAAAAAAAGGTACAAATAAAATATGTAAATATTTCTTTTCAACCTGTAAGGCCTGTACCTCAATGCTGTAAGGCCAAAACAGAGAGGATAGGCATGGTATAAAATTGACCAAAACATCAAAGAAATTTTTCAAATGTGTTTTGTCGATGTTTACTTACTCATTATAATAAGTCTTCCTGAACTTTCATCACTTCCATAAGTGTTTTGTGCTATGCATGTATATAAACCATCGTCATCTCGTGAAACTGGTGAAATAACCAAATTTCCATTGTCCAAGATTCTCCTTCGCCCGCCAGAGCCTAATTTGAAGTTTTCAAAATATAATAAAAGCTAAATTTGGGCATATTTTTTGTTAAATAAACTTAAAAACCAGATTACATACCAATTACGTTGTTGTCTTTTTTCCAAGTGAACTTGGGCCTTGGGGCAGCCTCGGGATTACAAATAACGGTAATGTTTCCACCTTCAGCTGCATAGGTTTCAGGCTCCAATGGCTTCTTTTTAAAAGTAGGAGCAAATGCTTTAAAAATAAATTAAAAACATTTTATTTAATGCGTAACATTCAGGAATATTCCACATACATAACACTCTTAGCTGTGCTGAAGACAATGCAGTTTTTAAAACATTTTTTGCCTGGCACTGGTACATTCCTGGATCTCTTTCAAGATCTAAATATTTTATAGTTAAAACATTATCCTGTATAATATATCTTTCTTTATCTAAATCTGATAAATGATCCTCCTGCAAAAAAAAATTAATTAAACAATTTACAAGATAGAAAAAAGTATAATGTAAAAAACACTAACATCTAAAGGTTCTCCATTCTTCCACCAACTGTATGTTACATCAGGGATGCCAAATGCTTCACATGTCCAGGTGAGGTCACCATGGTTATCTAAATGCTTGTCGGTTAAAGGAATTGTGAAATTTGGCTCAGCTGGAAATCAAGAAAATAGACATATATTTCAATATACTTCATTTGTATTTTTTAACATGGCTGTTTTCACATCATCAATTTGCATGAGTTAAAGTTTGGGTTGGAGATGGGCTAAGTTAGAGGTAAGAACAGGTTAGGTTAAAGTTACAAGTAGTTGAAGAAGAATAAAAAAATATATTTTAATAAGCTTTAAAATATTGTATTATGTATGTAATAATTAATTGGAGCATGCTAAACAAATAGTTAAAAAAACATTAGGCATAGGGACAGATCAGGTTAGTTAGGTTAATGTTTGGGATTAATGTTTAAAGTTTAGGTTAGAATTAGGGACAGATTAGGTAAGAGCTAGGGTTATTATTAGACAATGGGGAACTTTAAGAACTTTTTATAAAATAAAAACTTAAGCTTTAAAACATTGTATAATTTTGTGTGGTGTTTAGTGAATGTTAGTTAATGATTATTTGGAGATGGTGAGATGCGGTCTAGTGTGATGTAGGTTTAGAAAAAACACTTCCTTTATCATGCCAAAGTTTTGATCTTTATTGAGATCAAAATGTTTGTTTTCTGTGTAGGTATGTCATTATTGGGTGTCATGTTGAGAGTGCCAAATTTTTATTGAGAATAATTTGAAATAATTATTGTAAGTGGTTTGCCCCTCATCCTTGACACCCAACAGGAATTAGATTACATTTTATTGCTGTTAAAAAGCTGAAATTACTGAATCCTCGAACATAATTGTCCAATAATTTAAATTCATACCTTGAATTGTTAGATGTACGCTGTTTTCAATCTCCGATCGATCGTTGTACACTCGACAAACGTATTCTCCCTGGTCTTCTACTTGAACATTTGGTATTATCAATACACGGTTATAGCTTTGAAACTGAGCTTGCTTCGGAAGCACAGATCCTCTCCTTGTCCAGTTATATGAGGGGATGGGACTAAAATAGACATAGATTAACAGAATTGTATGGCATTTTAATAAAGTCAACCAGGCTTAAAATCTTCATACGAATACAGGCACGAATACTCTCGATCACGGTATGGTCTTGAAGAAAAAAGCAGATTCAATTGTTACTGCCACCCTTTCAACCTACTTTAAGGTCATCATCAGGGCAAAACAAACTTATATATGTCTACAGACTGACATATTTAAGTTTTTTTACAAGTGATCTCAAATTTCGTTAAAGACCCAGTCCTTACATTGCCAAGGACTGTACTCTACTGTTTTACTTACTACTTCTAATACTGAAAACGAATACAGGCAACAACTAAATTTTAACTATTACTATTAGTTTACTAAAACTTAAATAGTCTGGTGTGACATAGGTTTTAGAAAAACATTTTCTTTATCGTGCCAACATTTTGATCTTTATTGAGATAATCGTCCGAGCTCAAAGTGTTTGTTTTCTGCGTAATTGTGCCATTCTTGTGTGTCGTGTGGAGATCACTAATCACCACACATATATTTTTTATTTTGCTCTTACCCACTGAAATAATTAATAATCCACAAGAATGACGATTTGCTTTCTGATTCCAACTAGTTTGGAAGTAAATAATACTAAATAATTCAGATATTGTTTAGTTTGAATAGGTACATTTAATTTTTTTTTTTTTTGCAGTCAACTTTTAGTTATAATTAGTAAGCAATATAATTTAGAAACTAACAATATAATATCTAGTGTATTAATTCTACTTTAAACACACTTACTATCCATATACAATGCACTCTAATCTCACTTCTTTCCCTGCAACTGGAGCCTCCGGGAAGGCTTTTGGAAAGTTATTTGGAAATTTTAGTTGTTGAAAATTGGCTGAAATCATGAGGGATAATAATTGCAATAAAGTGGCGAATACACGTCAGACAAAACGGTGAAAAATTTACTCACAGTTGCTTATAACATTAAGATGGAAGAACGGGCCATTTCTCCCCGTATCAGACACTTTACTTTGAACATTACAACTGTAGTTTCCTTTATCTATGTTTTCTAGAGCAGAAAAATATAAAGCGCCATCGTACGACACAAAAACCCTTTTGTCTTCTTCAACGAAATTCGGAAAATAATCCCTGGCCCAGTAATACTTGACGTCTGCAATAAAAATGGTAAACATGGTATACAGAAAATTGCATTTTTCTATTTTGTGCACATGCACTTACCCGTGTAATGAGGGGGTGGGTCACAGAACATTGTTTTACCCCAATTTTCTTGTCCAGATTCAGCAGAACGTTTTAAATTAAATTCGCCGATACTTCCAAATGCAAGTTCTACTGTTTCAGAGATAATAGATCCATATTTGTTGCTAGCTTTGCAGTGATAATTCCCTCTGTCCAATGTCTGTATGAAAAAGTTCAAACCAGATCTTTTAACTTTCAGAGTTCTATGCCAACTGTTGAATTTGGTTCAATGGTTTTCTATCAACATTTTTGTATTTAAGGGGTGTAGCAACAGTTTTTTTTATTTTTCCAAATGAAATGCTGTATTTTCCCCCAATTTTATTTTAAACTCCACTTTCAGGTTGGGTTGGGTTAGGTTGTGGTTTAGGTTAGGTTGTGGTTTAGGTTAGATTTGGAATCGAAGTTACAATAGGTAGGGTTAGGATTATGGTTAGTGTTAGGTTTAATTCCAATCATGAGTGTTTGTTAAGATTTATTTATGATCCAAAAGGATTGAATAATTCATCATCTTCAACATTATTCTAATTTTTTAAAATATTTTCCTTCATTTTTCTGCAAAAATAAGTAACACAAACTTCTATGATTTATTTTTTATGATTTGGGTAACTTTTGGGTTTGCTTTTATCAATGAGTTCAAGAAGTACTGTGCCCGACCCGGCCGAATACGCTTTGATTTTCAACATGGTAATTTTTCTTGTTTAAATTTAAAATTAATTAATTGTTTGTATTTGTATTTATTAGGTTTGATATTTTTCTTTTAAATAAATTAACAAATTAAATTAATAGATTATATTATTATTAATTATACCTGATCAGGTTGATGTATGATCAAAGAACCACCGCTAATTGTATATTTGGAATTTTTTAATGGATCAAGTTTCTGGAAGACAGATTTTACCAATTCAGGCTTTTCTTTGAACCATTCATAAGTAGGTGTTGGATATCCGTTTGCAAGGCAACTGAAAAATTGCACAAAGCTAGTTAAAGTAAATCTCTACATTTAGAATTTAAATAAAAACACTAAATTTTTTTCCAAAGGTTGTGTACATTTTACACAAGTTTACTTACCTTAATGTGACATAGCTGTTAGTAGAGATTTTGGCCGTATCGTAAACAATGTTCTCTGGCTGTTTTATAAAGTGAGGACCAACTGGGACTTTTTCAGGGTCCACCACATCGATTCCATACTCATGAGTTCTATCGTCAACAACTAAGTAATGCAGTTTTGTAACAGGGACCTCACATATGTATAGCAGTGGTTCATCTCCCATAACCGGTTCAAATCCCCAGCGTTTTATTTCATTCGAAAATCTAGCAAAACACATGGAAAAAATTATAACAACATTCATCATAAATAGAATAATGAGAAAATTTGGAGATGAGTAAACAAAATTGAAATTACAACAAGTTGAACTAAATTCCAATTGTCAAGTTCTCTATTATAGTTTTTATGCCTTTCAATGTATTTGAAAGATTCATTTTTCCCTTTAAAAAAGTAGGACTTGTTAGAAGAAATATCAGACTTAATAGTTGATTAAGACAGATGTGAAAAGCGTGGGTGAAGTTTGACTTTATCAGTTTTGGAAAGTTTTTGCACCTGATCTTGTTGAAACAAAACATACTTCCTAGCCACCAAGCCAGGTACCGATTCTCCAATATCTTCCTTCATATTAGAAAATATTTTCTTAACTGTTAACTTGGCATTGTATATCTGGCGACATAAGCACAAATACACATCAATCTTCATCAATCTGATTCGGCATTATCCCCACAATGTCAGAAAGGTACACATGTTGAACAATGTTTTATTAAATTTTTCACCCATAAAGGCACAAAATCAGCCGAAATTCTTCAAATAATCACTCCTTAGTTTGTGGGACAAACACTGTCTAAGGCTCTACTGGTTTTCTGTCTTAAGAAGTTCAAGAAAGGAAGTGAAAACTACCTCCATATTAGAAAATAATTCTTTCTAATGTTTCTAATATTAATATGTTTTGGGGTTGGATGAGTTGGGTTAGGTTATAGTTAGGGACTAATTAGGTTAGGATAAATTAAATTAGGTAGGGTTAGGATTATGGTTCATCATAGTTAAATAAATTTAAAAAACGCATTTTTTGGTCCAAAACTCAGTCACTTAATATTTTGTTCAGTTCAGTGTTTGCAAATTCCTGCAGTTTTTCTATGTTTTTGGGCTGATGTAAATTTTTTTGAGTGTGTTATTTTCATGTAACCAGGGAGTAGCTGAGCCTGCATAAAACACAGTTTTGGAAGTAGTTGATTCAAATAATGTCTCAATATTACTTGAATATCAAAATCTAATTTTGATTAAAGAAATTTCCAATAGAAATTTTTTTTTTTTTACTACTTGTTATAGCATTAACCGTCAAAATTTTACCTATATGTTAAATACTCCTTTTGAACTGAGACGTAATCTGTAGATATGAAGAAAGCATTTTCCAAATCAGCCATGTTGGTACCGTCTCCATCATTGACCCAATAGTCGGGGCTTTGCTGTCTCCCTCCGACATACCACCTACGATGTTGAGGGTCTTGCCATAACAGCTGATGAACCAAAAACCCATGCTCTTCAGAAGAACTGATGCTCACAAGGTCAGCTTCATAGGCCTAAAATGCAAAATAGTGAACTGTAAGAGTCATTTATGATTTTTATATATTTATAATCTTAGACGCTTTAATAATAATTATTATTAAATAATAATATTAATTCATGGGGCACTCTCAACACAACATCTAATAAAGACACATCTACGCAGGAAACAAACACTTTGAGCCCTGAAGATGATCTCAATAAAGACTGAAATGTTGGCATGATAAAGAAAATGTTTTTCTAAAACCTACGTTATACCAGACCGCATCTCACTATCTCCAAATAATCTTTAATTATTTGGATTAATTATTTCAAATTCAATATAGATAACATACATATATCATTACATTACATTCCACACATCAAATATTTTCTCATAGTCTACTGTCCAACAATTTAGCTTTCCTTTTCCTATTTATCTCTTTCTATATAATCCTGAAAGGATCATCTGGCCGAACCATTACCAACACATTGTTTCCCTTCGTCGGCTCTTTTCACCTCAAAGAAGCCGACGCCTTAAACACAAATGTCTTTTCTATACCGACATCCTTCCCCACCCCCTCAAAATCCAATGTATATAAACATAAAACAGCAAAATCTCACTGGCACTCTCGACACGACACGCAAGAATGACACAATTACATAGAAGACAAACACTTTGAGTGAGTAGAAATACTTTGACTGAATATAAAAAATATATTTTGCATTGTATAAATTCACTTTTCCACATCCTAAATGTATTTGTTTATTGTAAACAATGTTTCTAAATCCCAGGCCCTGAAGATGATCTCAATAAAGATCAAAACGTTGGCACGATAAAGAAAATGTTTTTCTGAAACCTACATCACACCAGACCGCATCTCACGATTTCTGAATAATTTAATTATTTCCTTGAGTTTATTAATACATCGAATTTATATCTCTTTTTCTTGCAAAGTTACTAACATTTTATATTATTAAGTTCACTAATTTCGTGGCCCGCTTGACCAATTAATTAATACATTACAATTAATTAAGGTTTTTAGTTGAGATTTCGAATCCCGCTCGTGCCATTGACTTTTTTCATCTCAACTAAAAACCTTAATTAATTTTATATTATTCTCGTTTCTTTAGATAATCATATTTATTTTTATACTGTCCAACCATTGTTTATTGTATATTATATTGTATTATCATTGTTTTATTGTTTATTGTATTAATAAGAAAAATAAATTTATCACACTACATCAGTATCAATTTATTTATTAAGCATAATGAAATTTCAGATAAGCAAAATAATTACAAAGAGATAAAATATCCTGAGTGCTATATTTAAAACCTGACTGTGCCTCAGTTATGCGATTGTATCACAGAAAAAGAAACACAGAAAACATGATTACATTGTTCTTGATATGTTACTCTTTCCAATAGTTTTTCGGCAAATTTAGTACACAAATTTCAAATACTACAAAATTACAAAAATTGACTGACTTATTGAAGCCTTACTTAGTTCAATTAATTCTGTCAAAAATGAAAGCAGATTTCTCACAAAATTGGATAAAATTTGTACTGCCACTGAAGCAGCTTGGGAAATTGTTAAAAGACTATTGACCCACATATCATGTTGTTTGTTTGAAAAATGTAACTATTGAGATTCATTCTTGGAAATACATAAGCTCTCAGGCATCAATAGACAATCTGTAAAATCTAATTCTGCCACAAGTACTTATTACATACTTGCCAGGAAGAATGTAGTGCTGAAAGTACTGTTAGTCATTATCAAGGGGTCAAAAAAACGCAATCGTGTTTTAAAGATAGAAGCTCTTTGGAAAACAACAAGGGTTTTACCACCAACGGATGTTGATATGGTTCTACAGCAAGCTGTAAAATCACATCCAGCAACAAGTGCTTGCGAACTTCCTAGAGAGTGTGAAGTATTGAGGACCACTGTTAATCAACAGTGAAAATAAAGAAAATGTCCTAGAGAGGGAAATTGTGTGGTGTTGGTTCGAAATATTTGAGATCTTCGAAAAGGAAAAACGGCTGAGGGATAGCAAGCTGTAAAATCAAATCAATCCACAACTGTACCACCAGTGAGTGTGTGGTGTTGAAAAAGACCATGACTAGTCCTGCATGAATGTCCCAAAATGGAAGACACTTGTAAAAATGTTTTAAAGTAGTCCAAAAGATTGTAAAGCAGGACGATATGTGTGTTTTAAGATCTAAGACACTGAAATTGAGGTCAAACACTTTTTCTGTTACTGTATGTGATAAATGTTGAAAGCCAAACTTTCCTAAATGGACATTTCTAATAACTGCACAATTTTATTTCTGCTGGCATTACTCCATTTACTTCAGTAAGCAAAGTACTTCTAATAACGAGAGAGACATTCTAATAAATGGACATTACTTTTATAGATTTTTCAATGAAAAATTCTCTTATAAACACAGAGCGAGGGAAATATTTTTCCATACCTAATAATTTTTTCTGTAATTTGATCATTCATTTGACTAATGTTACATTTTTGGTCTGTCTATCCTCACTGGGTTGGTCTTTGATACACATTTTGGCATTTCACCATCTTCAGTGTATTTGTCTATAAAAGGAAATCCACTTTTTTTAAAATTAATTTATTTATTTTATATGGTCCATTCTAATCAGTGGACACTTCTAATAAGTGCTGAAGTTCAGTGTCTATCGAACACTGTGCGAAAGAGATTAAAAGCCTTCATATCGTAAATAGAAGCATAGTCATCTTCTTGGATAGTAAGGTGGTACTGAAGGCAATTGCCGCAATGGTAGTAGAGTCCAGAGTCATTTGGGATAGCATTAGGGCACACAAGATTAATTTTTGTTGGGGTAACAGTACAAACACAGCAGAGGAGCAACTAAGAGGTCGATAAATTGTCCAAGCAAAGTTCAATGAGGACATCTATTGGCCCTGAACCCTTTTTTTATGGCATATGTAACTGCCAAAAATGTGACAATGGAAATCCATTGTTCAATGGGAATTTAATCTAGGACAGAGGCATGCAAAAAAGTTCATGAACCATCACAAAACTAATAAATCTAGTATAGGATCTAGGACTAGCTTAATAGTGCAACTGGACACTGCAGACTCTGAAGGCATATAGACTCAGAGCAGCATAAACAAGCCAGAGCAGTTGTCAGTAAGAAGAAGAAGCTGAACATGACCTCTGTTCATGGAGGCTTATGCAGGATGGGATTACTACTCCTGTGAGAGAAAGAGCCCAGGCCTGAAGGACACAGAAGGGAGCCCATAAAAAAGCTTTGGGGTCTGGTAAAAAGCCTTAAGCTTAATTCTCTAGACAACAATGGATATGCTTAACAGACCGAAAACTTGTCGCAGTTAGTAAGTCATAAAGAGGGTTACTCCTTATCCAAGCCCGGGCACGAAGGATAAACAAAAGAGTCCTTGAAAAAGCTTTGTGATTTGGTAAAATGCCAGGTGGGCAGGTCATAAAGAGGCCGGCTCTTAAATTATATTATAATTTTGTATAGGTATAGTTTTACATGTTTCCCGATGTCTTTTCGATCCCAAGCTCCACCGGCCAATGGAACTGTTATGAAAAATATTCAATAAAGATTAAATCAAATACCATTTTATAAATACAAACCTGGACAACATCCAAGTTATATTTCTGATCATTTACACTTTACAAGGTGACAGGTTTTATTTTGATTTTTTTAAATTACCTGACAGTTTTTCCTGGCGTCGTTTCTGGAGCGAAGTGGTGATTTGATGAATCTGTAGCATGAGCTCTGAAACTGATACCAATGCCTGGGGCATTTCCATTCCTGGGGATCCGAGTTGTATTTCTGACAGAGGAAAACGGGGAAGAAGGCCAGAAATAAGACGAGAACCACCTTCATGACTCACACAGCGTTTTGACTCTATAAAGCGGCATTTAAAATTTAAAAAATAAAATAATTGAAACGTGTTAAAAAAAAAGGACAAAATTGGTCTTAAATAGTTGTTGACAGGGAGACCGTTAAAATCACGTACCGATTTGTTTATTCCATCAATTTTAAATTACGGGTTCCTCTTTTCGAAAGGACTTTTATAAAATTTATTTTATAATAAACTTAAAAAGAAAAAAAAACTAAAAGCTAAATAAGTTCGTGGTTTTAAAACAAAGTCATCGGGCCTTGTGAAATGAACAGAAACACAATACAAAACATTAACGAGATTCTTTGAAAGTGACACGCCTACTTGGTGCTTGACTCATCCCTCACTCCACCCAATTGTTGCACAAGTCGAGAGAATCGATTCAAAGTCAAAATCGATATTTTTTCACTTTTTTTTCTTCTCCTTTTTTTAATTTTTCATCTTAGAAAAATCATACAAAATTTGGCTTGTGCTTTCTTCATTTTTCAAAACAAATTCCGTACAGTTAAACTAAAACACAAAACAATCAATTCATATTAATGCATTATAACTTACTGTGAACTCCTCCCCACCAAATTTAGAAGTTGTTTGTTATCCTTTTTCCTACACTTTCGATTTATTATAATTTAATGTTGATTTCTTCTTTTTGAACTATTTATTTTAATTCATTTGTAAACCGAACTTCACAGAGGTTTTTACATTTTTTATTTCATATTAAGAAAATTTTTTCGAGCTTCTCTAAGCTCTTTCCTAGCCTGAAAGAAAAGTAAAAAAAATTTAGCTCAGGAGGATCTCGAAAATGCCTTCTTATGGTGAAAAAAAACCTATAAAAAGCACTGTGGAGTTCAATAAAGCAAGAATTCCATATAAAATAAGGTAAACAGCTAAGAGAGGAGAAAACAACAGTAAGTCATGAGAAATAGAACGCGTAAGAAAAAGGATTTTTAAAAAAATCGAACTGGCTTGAAGGAGCTTGGAGAAGCTCGAAAATTTCTTCTCAATATGAAATAAAAAATGTAAAAACTTCTGTGAAGTTCAGTAAAGCACGAATTCCAACTGAATTAAAATAAATAGCTCTAAAAGAAAAAAATAACATTAAATTAAGATAACTGAAAGGTATAGGAAAAAGAATAACAGAAAATTTCCAAATTGGCTGAAGAGGAGCTAGAAAGTCCTTCCTAACGTGAAATAAAAAATGTAAAAAGCTCTGTGAAATATAATAAAGCATGAATTCCATATAAAATAAGATAAATAGCTAAAAGAGGAGAAAACAACAGTAAGATATGAGAAATAGAACGTTTAGGAAAAAAGGATAAAAAAAAAGAATTTTCGAATTTGCTGAGAAGGAGCTTAGTTTTAAAATTAGCTTAACCCGAAAATTCCTTCTTAATATGAAATAAAAAATGTAAAAATCTCCATGAACTTCATAAAAGCACGAATCTATCGCGTTCAAAGTAAACTTAAACAGGCCAAAAAAGAAAATGAATAAAACGTATAAGAGAAAGAGTAAGAAATAACTCCTAAATTGTCTGAAGTGGAGCTCGAAAGTCCTTTCGAACGTGAAATAAAAAAAAAACCGCAAATACCATTGTGAAGTTCAATAAAGCACGAATCCCATTAAAATAAGATAACCAGTTAAAAAAGAAGAAAACAACAATAAGTCATGACAAATAGAAGATTTAGGGAAAAGGGTAAAAAAAGGACTAAAGGATGTCCAAATTAGTCGAAAAGGTAGAAAAGCCCGTTTCAACAAGAAGTAAAAATGTAAAAAGCAGCAAGAACTTCTTAAAGAAAACTAAGAAAATATACTTAAACATGCTAAACAGAAAATAAATAGAATGTATAGGAGAATGGATAGAAGAGAACTTCCAAATTGACCCGGAAAAATCCTTTTCAAAGTGAAATAACAAATGTAAAAAGCTGTGTGAAGTTCGGATTACAAATGGATTAAAATAAACAGTTCAAAAAGAAGAAAACAACAGTAAATAATAATAAGTAGAAGGTATAGAAGGAAGGATAACAAACAATTTCTTAATTTGCTGGGGAGGAGTTGCGTGTATACGAATTGATTGTTTTGTGTTTTAGTTTAATTATACAGAATTTGTTTTAAAAAGTGAAGAAAATTCCATAAAAACAAAAATAAAATAATAATTTTTTTAAAAATATATGATAAGACGACTCCGTCTGTTGGGTCACGGTTTTCCCTATCGAGGCTACCCAGTTGGATACAACATTACCGCGAGGAAGAGGCTTTTCTGTTTGTTTGTTTATCACAAACAAATTCATCCTTTCATCTATTAGTTCATAGAAAATGAAATTTGATGGATATTTCAGTTGAAATAAAACCCACGGTTCCTAACTTCCAACAAAGGGGACCCAATTGGGAAAATAATGGGCCCATCCATCTACAAACATTGCATCGGTTATGTGATATTTTTTGTCATTATTCTGATTTATTTCACAGCTACAAGTAAGTATTAAAATATTGACTACTGATCTAGCCTATCGGCTCTTGTATAAATTTAAATCTTTACGAGAGTATTTGCTTTTTAACTGATAACTCACGTTGTCAGACGAATAGTACCAAGTTTTTTGCAGATATAGTCCTTTTATTTGTCCTTGTAGGAATATAATAATGTTCAATAACATAATATTCAAATTTGACTTAGGAGCAATTTTTTCTCTCTACCATTTTCTATTTAATCGTTGTCTTCTATTGATCTTTTCCTGCAGTTATGTTTATGCGGTTTAGTGTTTAAGTACCACAACCACAAATACTGTCTAATCTATTCCTAAAGCCTACAAACCTCCCAAGCACATATCCAAAATCCTCAAAAGACTCCTTTTAAAGCGCTTAATACCCACCCTAGATACTCATATTCATGCCTTCTCAGCAATTCGGCTTCCGCCCTTATCATTTCAAGATCCAACGAGGTTTCAATATCATCGACAACATCTCTTCCGTAATAGAGAACAAAGAGGTTGGTTGCATTCCTAAATGTAGCGCCATGTTTTTGATAGTGTCTAGCACCTGGACATGCTTCATAAACTAAAACGCTTCCTACCTTTATCAATGGAAAAGAATCAGAGAGATAGCTAATTAGTCATTAACCCTAATCCTTCATAACCTAACCCTTTGTTGGTCTTATTGGAAAAAATAAAGTTAATTCTCTATTACCTATCACTGTGACAAACAATTTTTTTGTCAACTTATTTTAGATCCTTAAATTATTTTTAAAAAATGGTGGGAGAAACATGGAATCAACCCTTACCATAACCATCCTAACCTAAATTGCCCCTAACGTTACTTAACCTGACCTATTCCATCTCTAACCATTACCTTACATAACCTAACCTAGCCTAATCATACATATTTAACCCTATTTAACCTATTTTCCGCTAACGTGAATATTGTCATTCAAAAAAGGGTGTATCCAGCGCAAAAAACATATCTGTCTCTAACCCTAACATTACTAACCTAACATAGCCTAACTCTACATGGAACTGTGGGGTTCTGCCAAGTCATCCAAGCCTTCCAAGAAGGTATATGCACCGAACTGGAATACTGACAGAAGAAATATGGTGGAAAAAGAGTCAGCAGAACACATTCGATGTTTTTGTAAGGATCTATGAGAGGAAAAGCAGTAAGCAAGATGCTACACTATGAAGCCGCTGGCAAGCCTTCATTAACTACATGCAGCTGGTCAGTGAGTTATAAAAAAACAAAAACAGAGGAGCACAATAGATCTAATCAGGTCGAGGAGTAGAAAGCCTTGTGGCTGCCTCTTTTATCCCTATCCTATCCCTAACCCTTCCTTTCGAGACAAATAAGCATCGCATTGAAATAGAGTTGGTATTTTGAATAAAGCAAATGGCAATCTGTTTGGTGCTTTTCTATGTAAGGCTTCAGTTCTTTTTTAATTTTAATTAAATCTGATGAATATTCAGTTAATTTTATAGGGAAACATGTTATTTAACCAGCTAATAACCGGAATCGCAATTAGTTTAATCCAAGCTCTTTTACCTGTGAGATAATAAGGAAATAATGATAATAACCAAGGCATTACAAATGTCGTTGGAAAAGTGCCTAAAACGGGCAAAGTGTAAATAGGCGACATAGAAAACATGTAGGTCGGAAACCATAGAAAACGGTAATAGAGGTTAAGGACGGATCGGGCATAGCATAAATTGGGGAAGATATAGAAACGCATGTAAAATAGTGAAAACAAAACACATCCTTCCCTAACTCTAACTTTACTAACCTAACATGGTCTGACTCTGCATAACCTATCCTGACCCATCTCACTCTCCAGTAATGTGAAAATGGTTAAAATATTTTCAGATCAGATAACCCGTTAAAATTGTCTAGTATAACGTATTTTTTTTTCAAGTTCATGCCTTGCAGACTTTTCATCTCCACAAAATAGTCCAAACCTAACCCCATTAAACATTATCAAAAAATTTCCATCATTAATAGTTGATTTAACTGTAGGCATCCAAATATTACCAAAATATTATCTGAAAGTTTTAAAATATTTTAACAGATAACTCCTTAGAATTTAGTAGTCTTATAAAAATTTTCTTACCCATTGTAGATACGCATAATATCATTCCTTCCTACCAATCCAGCTTATGTTCATATCATTCAATGATCCAACAAGGCTTCAGAGATGTTGACACTATCTCCTCTGCTCTAGAGAATAAAAATTATTGCTTTGGTGCATCCCTAGATGTAGCACAGCCTTTCAATAGGGTCTGGTGCCTGGGCATGCTTTGTAAATTAAAACACTTCCTCTCCATTTCTTATTATCTTGTCCTGAAGTCCTGCATCACAGACCACTGCTTTAAAGTGAGGCAACGAGTTCTCGGAAGTCAGACAGATTCAAGCCGGTGTCCCATAAGGGATCATTCTAGGTTCCAGCCTTTATATCATTTATTCAGTCGACCTATCTCTACATCCTAATACTGTCATCACCACTTAATGATAATGCAATTTTGTCCTTTACCTTGAATTCTATCTAAGACAAAAATTGGTACAGAAAGTGTAGGGCAAGGCTGAATGAAGAAAAATGTACTCAGTGTATGTTCACATTGAGAAATCAGTGTTGCAGTTGTGCATCAACATCAAAGAGATACCGACTTCATTCAAGTCAAATACTTAGGACTGTACCTTGACAGCAAACTGACATGGAATCTGAATTTTTATTTAGAAAGGTTCCAACATTTTTATTTTGTCAGACACAGTGTAACAATTTAATTAATTTTTAAAAATCCTTTTTATTTTAAGGTGGGTGTTAGGTCAGGCTTTATTTCATTTTGTCTTAAGTTGTTTTATATGCCATTGTCTGGTGTCAAACCCTGCACCATTGAATTAATACAATTATTCTAATAAAATATACAAATTCTCTTTGTTTTCAGATGTTGAACATATATCAAATGAGTGGAATTATTTACCGCCCAAACGCGACATACAGATTTGGGCCAAGGCAGCAATAGCGGAATACTTATGGTTTCATATTCTAAATGGGCATACAGAATCATTTTACAATGGTTTTTACAACAATGGAAATATAACATTGAACGGATTGACTTTCTACTATTTAAGCGGGCCCGGGTACATCCAGACCACGGTACCACAAACAGTCGAATATTTAATTCTGATATTGAACGGGCACACTCTAGAGCATGTGACCAATGCGTTGAATTGGCTCGAATACATACCACAATTGACATCTCTAAAAAAACTCGCTGTAATAGTTTTGGGGAGTGAAAACTGTGAAGATAATTGGATAACAAAATACTTGAAGTCTAAAGGAGGGCCGATAGATGTCCTTTTCATGGTATACGACAGCCCATTAATAGACAACAAAGAAGTTTACCAATGGCCTTTAGGTGTCGCCACGTAAGTAAATTACATTTACTAATTAATTACCATTATTAAAAACAACAATAAAATTCCACGAAACAGCCAAATAAAAAAAAATCATTATCATACAGGTTTTAACATCCAACTATTTATTAGGCGTTGTGGACAAGGGGGTGAACACTTTACTATATTTTTTCAAATTATTCCCTAGTAAAATCCCATAGGTTATGCAGTTATAGCACCAACATGGTGACTCATAACTGTAATGGTCTCGAGTTTGAATCTCATCTGCCCTGAGTTCAGGAGTACTTTGGATTTGAATGAAATTTGGTCGAAGGTGTAAGAGCCGAATTTCACCCAAAATCGAGCACTCTGCCAAAAAGTTAAACGGTCTCGATGGAACAAGAATTGGACAGGGAGCATATACCAAAGTTTACCCCTATTCCACACATCTGAATTTACATGTAAAATCTCACATCTCAACTTAAAAATCCATCGTAGTTCACGAAAGGAAAGACTGTCAAAATTAGGCTTCTAAAATTTTTACATCATAGTAACTGCTGTTACTTTACCAATTTTTCTTTTTATTCTCATTTTTATTATATATATGTGCAATTTATACATAAGCAAACATATGCAATGGTGTTGTTGTTAACTGATCATTTTGGTCTGCCTATCCTCGCAGGGTTAGTCTGTCAGCAGTGTTTTACTCATAACAGATATTGTACAACTTTTTTTTTTCAGATACCGACATTTTCCAAAATACAACGCAACTCAAGTAAACTTATTTAAAAAAAGAAAGTACACGTGTAATTTCGTTGGCACTGTCTACAAAGGATCTTCAAGGGAGGCTCTAAGGTCAATTTTGAATCATTCATCATTCAAGCATAACTGTTTACTAGTTGATCGGGATGTGTAAGTACAGCATTATAACATTAACATTAGTAAAAAAATATTGGGCAGGGATTTTATTTCTTGTGAATTGAACAAAATACTATCACTTCTAATAAAATGTTAACTGACTTGAATTTAACCACGATTTTGATTTTAAAATATTTTTAATTTATCAAACTCGTATTTCAAGTAATATCTGTATTTGTCAGCACAAAACTATATTTTTTTTGCAAGTGTTTAATAAATGTTTTTGATTTTTGGTTTTTAGGTGGCCAGCAAAAGAAACAAAAACAAGTTTAAATCGTTACATCAATATTCTCAATTCTTCTGACTTTACTTTATGTCCAACTGGTGCAAACACAGAATGCTACCGAATATATGAAGCTATTTCGCTTGGAAGCACACCTATCGTTGAAGATGTTATGACACCTGGGAAATGCGTAGCGCCATTGCGCCTATTAAAAAAATACAACCCTCCGATTATATTTATAAAAGATTGGAGTGAGCTGAATGGCACGTTGTATAACAAGAATAAATTTAAACTGAAAAGTCATAGGATTCACCTTTTAAAATGGTACAGCAATTTTAAGATCAAAATGGCGAAACACTTCTTACAAGTGATAACTACCTCTTTTTTCCCTCCGACTCAAACTTAATAGTTTATTTCAAACTTAAAATAATAATAAAAATAAATAAATGGAAAAAAATAAATAAAAGTTGCTCAGATATATAAAAATACATTTCAGTGTAGGCAAATTAAATTATCCTTAAAGCCTTTTAAATTTGCTATATATGCTTTAAAGTTGCTTCAATGCTGCCTATTGAAAAATGCTTTAAACCAGCAAGAAAGAATTGTCATGTATTTTTTCTATCATTTCTATATTTTTCCTATGGAAAAAGCTTGTCTTTCAATAACACTACTTTTCTTGTACTTCACATGCTATGAAGATGACAGTAGCAGCACAAACTATTTGCATACCATGTTATTTGGAATTTTTGACTTCAGGAAAGTGAACAGAATTTACAAGGTAACAGAACAGAAGATAATAAACAATAAAATTCCTGGATAAAAAAAGTATTTGCACATATTTTATTTTTTATTATTTAATATGTTTTATTTTTATTTAATATTTTTAATGTTATGTCCAGTGTTTTAGCATCTATAACTGCCTGTAGGGGTCTTTGCATTGGAATGGACAAGATTTTTAATGTAACGCTGGGAGATTTTTTCCCATTCTTTGACTAATAGTTCATTAAATTATTATAATCTCTCCCTAATATTTTTTATTCTCTTACTCTTCAGTCGAAGTAGGACCGTAAATGTTCAGTAATATTTAAGTCTGGTGATTGTGGAAGTGTGAGGAGCTTCATTAAAAATTTAGCCACAAATTTCAGATCATTGTCTTGCAAAAAAAAAAAAATGAACTGGTTTTGTAGCCCTATTTTTGCAGCACTCACATTTGTGGTGCAGTATACATACACTTCTGCATTTATTTATTTATTTTTTATTTTATTTTATTATTATTATTATTATTTTTTTTTTTTTGGCGTTATGAACTATGCATATTAGCCATGTGACAATTCGTATGTGTGTTCAAATTTGGGGCGGGGGGTTATTGTGAAAAAAGCCAGAAGCGACGGTGGGAATCGAACCCACGACCGCGGCGTGAGAGTCTCTCATGCTAACCACTCGGCTACCGCGGTCCCCAAATTATTATTATTATTGTTTTTAAAATTCTCATTGTGCCATTCGCCAAATTGTTTTACCACCAGCTGATCCAAACAAATAGAACTTTTATTAGAAACTGTAACCTTTTTCCCTAATAACTTAAACATTTTTGTAATATATTCACTGTGAAAGCATTATTTTGCTGACAGCCTCCTTAATATATTCTCTTGCGAAAGAATTATTTTTGTGACTACCCTCCCTAATATATTCTCTTGTGAAAGCATTATTTTGGTGACTACCCTCCCCCCAGTCCTTTGAAATTTCAAGAATTTCTTATGGTCCTTTTGCCATGACTCCTGATTGTGAATCAGCTGGTGCTTAATGTAGGGTCCCTTTGATCCTCATTTTTGACAGACAGGAACATTCTCGGTCTGATGACTCAGATGTCCTGTATGATGGCTGTACCTCTCTCTTGATATCCTCTTTACGATTTCAGACTGAAAATCCAGCCCTAAGTTATTAAAAATTTCATTTCTGAACTACCAAGAAGAGCTGCAAATATTCTTAAGAATTAGAAATGTGTAATAAACAAGTAAACAAATAATGCACATACTCTTTTCTAAGGGTTTTTAATTAATTATTAATACTTGTACTTTATATTTTTGAAATGTTTGTAGCAATGTTGAACTGCTTATTGATGAAAAAGTGTGCAAATACTTTTTACCATTGTATGATTTTATGCATCTTTCTGCTAATCGCTTGTGAGGGATGTTATTTAAAAAAAAAAAAAATTAAAAACATAAATAAGAGAAAAAAACAACAACAGTTATATATAACTGTCGTACTAAGTCGGCTGTGTGTATATCAAAGAATGTGATCTAGTCTTTTTACTTCTAAGTGCTAGTTTTACCGATATGCAACTCTTCTCTAAAATAGTCTTCGTTTAAGCTTTCATATTGACTATATAGTATATAATTATCACAATCAGTATATAATTCTTTCTAGGGAGAGGATCTGTGAATTAAGAGCTTATAGAAATTTAAGATTTGTTGAGAGTCAAAATGGTAATGAGCTTTATGGGTTTTTAAAATGCATTGATTACTAACTGTTAACCATTCAATAATTTACATAAAAACAAAATTGTGAAATATGAAATTACACTTAGCTTATTAGCTGTACTATGACATTTCATGCATTTAAAATAAGTGACTGGCCTGATAGCATGCGCTAAGAGACTCGAAATGCGATTAAAATGAATCTAAGATTGATTTCAAGGCTTCCGATTTGCCGAATGGCCGTTTACTTAATACGCTTGCAATTACGGTCTTTCGGAACGAGTTCCCCGTGATTCATGTGAACTGTTAGTCATCTGTATAACGCTTATATGGTAAACCATAAATTTAAAAAGGCCAAAGTTTCATTTGCTCAATATATGTAATTGTAATTTAAAAGTATAATCAAAATATTTATTTATTTCAGTGGTGTTTTGAAATATAATTCCTAAGTTTAATTTTTTTTTTTGTGTGCTGTGGTAAAAACGGATTCCAACCCTTTTTCCAAAACTGTCCTAAATCAAGCCTTCCCATTATTAACAAAAAGAAAAGAAAATGCATTGAAATAGTTAAAATTAAATTAAATATTTGAACACAAGACACGAGCGAGCAAGCACACATGTAAAACACAAAGATTTTTCGAGCGTAGAGTTGTCTTGTATCCAGGAAATTCATGAAATAATTCCTATTTAGACAAACTTTATATTTCTGTTCATCGAACAGCATAAAAAAACAATTATATTTACATTAAGTTAGATTTTTATTAGAATGAGCTATGTGTAAAATGTATTTATGATTAATTAAGGCTTATTCAGTAAATAACTGAGACCTATTTTAAATCGACTGAGTTAAGTTGTTTCGTTGTTTTAATGCAGTACTATTCACCTTGCATTTTGAAATAAAGTTATCTTTTGTAAGGCTTTAGATGTTGTGTTCTTTTATTTTATACCATCCTTATACTTGTTATACTGATTTTTAACATATTACGAAATTTGGTCAGAGAGATACGTTTCAGTATGTAGCCATCTTCACTGTGCCACCCAGGTCACATCACAGTTGACGTAAGAGCCAAGTTCATGAAGCACTGACAAGAATTCAACATATACTTCAGACTTCTTACAGACTGCTGGACATTACGCCATTGAACTTTGGGTTTTGACCAAACACTCCATCTCCAATATATCCAATAGCTGCAAAATCTCTGAACCACCATCAATGTTTCTACATATCAATTCATACGTATAATGGCCTTAATATCCAATATGTCATTGAAGTAGGCATGCATTTGCATGCATAGATTTACAGTCGAATTATTCTGCCCTATTGTTGAAAACCTGCCATTCAGCACCTTTCCAGATAATCCTCCTTGATTATTGAACTGGCCTTGCAACCTCCCAATTAACAGTGAGAGTAACACTTGTTTTTGTGAGCTGGATAAAGAAATTTATTTTGTGTGTCCACTTTTGTATTACCAGGGAATACACATGGGTTGGGTTAGGTTGCGATAGGAATGATTAGGTTAGGTAGGGTTATAGTTAGGGTAAGAAATAGGTTAGGCTAGATTAGGTTAGTAATGGTTAGTTTAGGTAGGGTTAGGGTAGTTAGAGCTGGGTTAGGTCAGTTAGGAAGGTTAGTTTAGGGCTTGAGGCAGCAGTGCTGGGAAAATACCGAAAAAAGGGCGGTGTACATATAAGATTTTTCCAAACATTAAAGACCGCATAAAAATGAAACATGTTCAGATTGGCCTTTACTCGCTGCAAGTTGTAACAGGCCACGGGGACTTTGCTTAAAAAACCACGCATTTAATTTAAGATTAAATTAATAAAGCTCTCCATTATGTCATGCAGAAGAGAGGAATCGACTGATCTTGTTCGAATTACATGCATCGTACTCGATGAATGCAAACTATAAAACAATTGGCGACTACAATTGAAACATTTAAGGTAGCATTACAAAGCTACACAAAATTATGTCAATGCTAAAATGGAACAAAAAAATGGCCAATAAAATGACTTGTCGTTTATGATCTAGAAATGCCTAATTATGATATTTTTTCAGTATTTAATTATTTATTAGCTTGTTAAAAATTGTATAAGCATTTCTTAAGTACATATTATATTCATTCATTTATTCAATGTTAAAGGATAGTATTTATTTAACATAGTCGGGTGTTTGCATTATGTTTGTATATATTGCATTATTATGCAATATATATATGTAAAAGAAGAGCAACAAAAGAAACTTTTTGAAATTTAATTAATTTTTATGAATGTCCATCATGAGGTCCATCTTGGATGTAGTAAAAATTCTGATTGATGACAAACGATCAGATGGAAGTATTGGGTGAAAACTGTCAACCAAAGCGAAAAGTCAGGGAAAACTGATAAAAGTAAGTAAAATTGGTTTAGGAGCAGAATGAAGAGAACTATACAGAAAAAACTTGACGGTTAGTGTAGGGATGGGTTAGGTTAGGAATAGTGTAGGTAGGGTTAAGGACTGTTAGGGATGGGTTAGGCTAGGTAAAGGGATTTAAAAAAAAAAATGAGAGTGGGAGTTATTTAAGTCGCACTTTCAAACTGATATCAAATTTAATAAATTAAAAATGACATTTTAAGCTTCAGTGAAGAATTTAAACGTGCATTTGGTAGTTAATCAGAAAGCCAATACCCCAGGTTGGGCGAGTCAACACGTCCTAGCCTGCGCTTGTAGCAATTTCTGCCTCGTCATCAACAAATAAAGAGCGTTGTCATCGAGGAAAACAAGTCACTTTGTATCAGGAACGGTTCCTCGGTAGTTACATCCAACACGGGATTTATTACACAGAATGTGTTTCGCTTCTCAGAGAAGATGGATAAATGAATGGAGGAAAAATCCAACTTTCGTTTGTTAATCTTTTAAGAACCAGTATCAGAGAAAAGCGAAAATCACACTCGTATATTTTAGTTTGGATTATAGATGCGTCAGGTTAGGAATGGTTAATTTAGGTAGGGTTATTGGTAGAAATAGGGATCATCCTTCTTGTCAGAAACATTTCACCCCTTTCTTCATAATCCTCTCCCATCGATCGAAGCGTTATTGGCCGCGTGAACTCCTCAGTGAGAGTTGAAAAACTAACATGTTTTTGGACTGGATGCATAGTTTTTGAGTTAGGTTAGGTAAGACTGGTTTAGGCTAGATTATGGTTTGGTTGAGTTAGGTTAGGTTAAGTTAGGTAGGTTTAGGGTTAGGGACGGCCTAGGTTATACCATTGTGATTCAATGTTTTTCTTAATGTTCTTTGAAAATGTGCTAGTGCGAAGCGTTTTTTTGTAAGTAGTAATTACAAACTGATATTAATTTATTTAAGCGCAGCATTTTGGAGCAGATGTTAATAATAAAAAAAATATATTTTAAGTTTCAGTAAACGAGAATGTACAATTTAAAGGTGATTTAATATTTGATTCTTTCGTCCTTCGGCGTTGTCCTTCCACAGCAACACATCCGCTCGTAAACTTTACCATATTCTGAGATGTTCTTCTTGTTGGACAAACCTTTTTTCCTGGATAGGATTAGGCTAGATATTTAGGATTCATATTTTATTACAGCAACACTTTGAAGACTGCTGCTTATTTACTCATAGGAGATGCCTTCACTTTCGGATTCAAAATAGTTACCAGAATTTATTCCTTTTTTTCATTTAGTCCGTTGGTAAGGTAATTACTGCGGGGTGTTGACTTTTGAGCACTCTATATTGTTGAATTATGATGACCGCGAGGTTTTTGATTATTCATGATCTGATACTGAAATCAATTGGA